ACCCACTGGTGGGCGATACCGCACAGTTTGGCAAACAGATTTAGACTTCATATAAGTGCCAAAGATTAGAGGTGTTACAAGAGAGAACAAACACGAAAAAGAAGGAGGGTCGATAAAGACGATAGATGTTTGATAGGAAAGAAGAAGCAAACCACACCAGAGCACCCGCTAACAACCCACAAACAAACGCAATGGGCACCCGGTATAACGATGCGTGAAGACACAGGAGGGAAGGATGGGGGTTGTACATTATACATTACTTTTACCACAATATGATGGTTCCCGGGCCGTTTCAATGCATGGTTCTTACGCCATGGCTCATTACTGAATGTTGGCATCGCTGACAAGAAGACGGATTCAAACCCGATTCCACATAATGACTCTTAATACTACACTTAAAGAAGACTCAGTTTTTGTATTATTATACCCATTAAAATAACTGTATTCCCGAAAACGAAATCAAGACTCGATATAAACCGGTTCATTACGATTAGAATCCCTTTGAAACCGGATCCTCGTGAATAGGGTACTTGTCCAGCTCAACTTTGAGACGGAACAGAACAGGCTATAATATTATAAACAAGCGGGCCGTGGAAGCGTATCGCCCACGCCACGTCACTGTGGTAATTAAGTGATAATTACAGCGGCGATGAGTCCAGGGGACAGTGTTCCCGTGTTTACCTCAAAGGGCGCGAAAACACAGGGAACGTGATACGGCGAGCAATCATATGTACGAGCTTGAGCGTCGCCACTTTTTTGGGTTTCCAGATCAACAGTCAGGAGACAAGCTTAATTTGACTAAAGAACTGAGGGAGTTGGGTTGTTGTTTTTTTTTAAGTGCGTCTGGTTCGAAACACTTTTTCTTCTTCCTGTCTTTCTCTTTTCCTTCTTTCCTTCCTTTGTAACTCCTTTTTTTTCTCTTCTCCCTCCGCCTCCTCCTCTTCCACCTTCCTTCCTCAAAACTCCTATTTTTCTCCTCCGCCTCCTCATCTTCCTCCTTCATTCATCCCAAAGTCATATTTTTCTCCTAATCCTCCTCCTCCTCCCTTCCATCCCTCTTTCTTCCAAACTCCCTTTCTCTCCGCCTCCTCCTTCTCCTCCCTCCCTTTATTCTTTCCAAACTTCTTCCTTCCAAACTCCTATCATTTTCTCCTCCTCCACCTCCTTCTCCTCCCTTCCTTCCTAAATCTTATATTTTCTCCTCCTCCTCATCCTTTAAATGCAAAGACGTCACGAACCCGGCTTTAAGGCGAAAGAAAGCAAAAGCTGTGTGTACATACTAACGTGACGTCCCTCTCTGCCGGCCATATCATGGCCACGCACGGCGACATGGACAAAGGCTGAGCGAGCCATTCATTGTTTGTTTTGTCCGCTTGTGGGTCTGACTTGTGTGAGTGTGAATGTGTGTAAATGTAAATTGTGTGTGTGTGTGTGTGTGTGTGTGTGTGTGTGTGTGTGTGTGTGTGTGTGTGTGTTTGTGAGTGTCTGTGTGTGTGTGTGTTTGTGTGTGTTTATGTGTGTGTGGGGGGGGGGGGGTCACAGACAGACAGACAGACAGACAGACAGACAGACAGACAGACAGACAGACAGACAGACAGACAGACAGACTCTATATACATGTATATGTCTGTGCGTAGACAGAGAGAGACAAAGAGAGAGAGAGAGAGAGAGAGAGAGAGAGAGAGAGAGAGACAGACAGACAGACAGACAGACAGACAGACAGACAGACAGACAGACAGACAGACAGACAGACAGACAGACAGACAGACAGACAGACAGAGTATATACATGCCTGAGCGTATAAATGTGTGAGACAGACAGGAGGAAAATGACAATATTTATGTGCGTTTGCATGTGTGAGACAGACAGACAGACATCAGTAGTCCGCCGTGTAAAAAATCTGAGGAGAAGTATTTTAGAAGACCCTCAAGTAAGTCACGCAAGGATGCGATTCCTACGACTTTTTCAGGAAACTCTCCCAACGACCGACGAACAGATGCACACATGCATACATGCATAAACACTTGACTCTCCAAATCGCAACGCGGTACGGGCCGCTAATAAGCGAGAACAACATCAATGGAACGCCATAATTCTGTACTTTTGTTTGATTTGGATTTTGTTTGGCTTTAATTTGAGAGCGTTTCAGTCACAATCAATTGCGTACATAAAAACAAAACAAAAAACAAAACAAAAAAACCCTCCTACAAATGCAACAGAAGTTCTTTGAAGCAAGCCAGACCTGGTGGATAGTATTCAATTTTTTTTCTTCCTGTGGTATTTGTTTGTTTGTTCGTTCGTTCGTTCGTTCGTTCGTTCGTTCGTTCGTTCGTTCGTCCCTCCGTCCGTCCGTCCGTCCGTCTGTCCGTCCGTCCGTTCGTTCGTTTGTTCGTTTGAGCAAAGATAAGCACGTCGACACAACAATGATTATTTAGTGCAGAAAAAAAGGTGATTCAGACAGACAGAAACAAAAAAAGGGAAGGTAAAGAAGTAGAACAGGACCAGTGGCACCCTCCAACCTCCCGTCTCGCCGCAATAGATCACTAGAATAATATCATACTTAATTCATGAAATGCCAACTAAATAATGAATACTTCTTATACACAGTGCATGAACTCTTATGTTCACAATGTGATGTGCATATTATAATGAACGACTTAGTTGTGATAGTATGGATGTCTGCTTTTGCGTTGGCATTAATTCAAATAGCGTATGTTGTATGTGTTCTGAGCAATTGAGCGATCGGCGCAGCGCGTTTTAACAATCGAATAATTGCCCGGCAATCTTAAGATTGCGCTGCATATTTTAAAGATCGAATAGTCACGCGGAAATCTGAATATTGCGTCAATATTTTATACTTTTTAAGAGCTCACAAGAAGGATACAATGCCAGCTATCAAACTCAAAGTTCACAAAGTACATTTAATTTATTTCATTTTTTTTTTTTTAATCACTTCCATTTTTATCTTTCACTCACATCAAGGAACATTCATATATTTTCAAAAGTGTAAAAATATGAAAATTAAAATTGAAGTATGAAACTGAAGAGCCCACAAGAATAATTTAAAGTCAGGTATCAAACTCAAACTTCACAAAGTACATTTAATTATTTTATACCTTTTGAAGTTATTTTTTAAAATTCATTTCCATATTTTTTCTTTTACTCACATCAAAGAACATCCACGTATATTTTCAAAAGTGTAAAAATATGAAAATTAAAATTAAAATTAAGATATGAAACTGAAGGGCTCACAAGAATGATACAATACAATTATACTATCTTTAAAACGCTGAACACAATCTTAAGATTGCAGCGTAATCTTAAGATGGTCACGCAATTATGGGATCCTTGAAACGCGCAGCGCAATATTACGCCGATCAGTAAATTGTGCGGAACATATGCAAGTTCATGTTGTGTACATGTATTCTGTGTGAAGATAATGGTTTTGTAAAGTACCTTGAGCTGAATTGTGCAGAAAAAACTGAGTGCAACAACAGAAATTATCAGCATAATTATCAGCATCATTACCATCTTTATGATTAGAACCAACAATAAAAGGCGCCAAATGCCAAATGATAATAGACCTGACTTGAAATTTGTTTGCAGAAATTAGAAGAAAGATATAATCAAGTGCCTGACCTGCGGCAGACATTGGCGATCATGGTTAGCCATTCATTCCTTTGCTCGGATGCTCTCATTTATATAAAGCTATATATATATATATCATTATCCTGGTCTTATCCCGTCACCCATCTAATTAGGCATTCAAAGTAGGTTGCTCAGCCCTGTTTCCCTTCAGTTTTACCAGTGAGAGCTCAATGTTCGAGGCTTTTATGTCTGTTCAAGTGTTCCAGAAACTCCATTTGTCTCTTCCTAGCTGTTCTTATCAGCAAGTGGCCGACGTGGGCTTCTTCAAGTACTACCTCATTTGATTTCTTTTCCTTCCAGAACAAAAATTCTCGACAGTCTCTTAAGAAACCACATTTCTGTTGCTTCTATTTTATTTTCACTGTCTTTGGTAAATACCCGGCATTCACAACTGTATAGTAGGGCTGACGACACCTTAAAGAACTTTTATTTCGATAATCACTGAGATTTTTTTTCCCTCAGGATTGGGCTCGCTTTGTTTAAAACTATTTTATTAAGCTGTTGCCACTTAGTAAGGCCCCTTGCTTTCAGGCAGTCACATTCCGATTTCAAAGGTAAACTATATTTTTTTTGTACCGACTTGAATATTTTCAGTTTTGATAGGAATTAATTTTGAATTTTGCACGGGTGGCAACCAAAACCTACTCTCATTGATTTTAGGACAACAAAGGAATCTTTAACGAGCACAACTTGCACACGGGATCTCCGATATAATGCTATAAAAACAAAAAATTTCAAAATATTCACATTTTCCTTAATACATGTGTGTGAACACATGAATTGTCTTCAAGTGCATTTTGCAATTTGAAAAAAATAAAAGATATCCATGCTGTAGAAAACGTGAGAGCAGGTGTGGTCACTTGTCAAATGTAGAAAGTTAAGAGAACAAATATCTTCATTTTCTTTTCCTTTTTTCAACCTCTATAATAATGTAGTTTGCATATTTTCAATATGTATAGAGAGGAAAATTGAATTATCCTAAAGTCTTATAATAATTAACCCATCAGTGAGATTCGTAACAACTCAATTTTTCCTTAACCCATCAGAAAGATTCCTAAAGACTCAATTTTTCCAAACATTCAGTAAAGAAACCAAAAGACACATTAACAGCAAATGCCACAATCATTCAATAAGCACTGCACATGCAAGATGTACAGCTTAAAACTGAAAAGACCATGGAAAGAACCACACTGGTCTAATCAGATTACAAATGAGTAATGCTAATATCACTTTGCTCAGGAAACTGGGTGATGGTCTGGGGGGAGGGGGGTCCTTTTGATCCTGAAATTGCTGATATAGTTCTGAAACCACCAGCATCCCATCATACACTATCTTATTTAATAAACATTTACCTGCAAAGTGTGGGGACATGATGCCAGTAGTTTGAGCATATGCACGATGTTCTGGGGGTCTTGAATGACAAAGTTGTTTTCAATGTCAAAGTCATCGCCCACAAGCTGAAAAACAAACAAAGGCAAGGAAACATTATCAATACCAGAATAAACATAACATTTATGAATACTCACATTCAACAGAACAGTGACATTCTGGACCTGTTTATTTCACATACTCTGAACATGTGACCTTCGGAAGAAAAAAATATACAGTACACAGCATACTAGTCTAGCACGAACACAATAACATTAGAGAGACATGGCAATCACTTTGTTTTACAGATTCCTCTATGCACGTGTTTAAAAATGAAGAATTTATATATATATATATATATATATATATATATATATATATATATATATATATATATATATATATATATACACATATATATATTATTCATACATGAGGCAGCAAGGTGAAATCAGGTGCTCGTCAAAATAATGAAAGTAGAGAAACTGACACTTTTTCGCTGGTTTCACAATACAATATTTATCGGAATTTTTTTGTTTTTTGGCTCAACACCTTCTATATGTCCATTTAAGATCCCATTTGAGTGTGAATTATAGGCCCTATTGAAAAATGTTAATTAAAGGCACAAAATGTAAATTGTCAATTTCCACGGACTCTGAGGCTTTGTAAATAACCAAACTGTGGCAGCCATTTTCTCACTAATTTTACCTCTGTAACCATGTGACCCCCCTTCATTCCATCGCAAATATCTCTATGTGAATTCAAGATAAATGTGTAATTCTTTCAGCAAAAGCAAGAAAAATGAACACGCTTTACTTTAAGGTGACACCAATAACTCCACATGCCCAAAATTGACCAGCCCCTGATTCTACCGTGTCGTGTCAAAAACACAACCACACATATATATATATATATATATATATATATAATATGTGAGGCAGTGTGGTGGAATCAGGCTCTCGTCAAAATAATCAAAGAGAAGAAACTTGTATTTTTCTGCTGTTTTGTGAATTTTTATCAATTTTTTGTTTTTTGGCTCAACACCTTTCATGCCCATTAAAGAACTCATTTCAGTGTGGATTTTTGTGAAAAACATTAATTAAAGGCACAAAAAATGTAAATTTTCAGTTACCACGGACTCTTAAGCTAAGGAAATAACTAATCTTTTCTCACTAATTTTACCTCTGAAAGCAGGTGACCCCCACCTCCTTCATTCGCAAATATCCCGACTTGAATTCAAGATAAGTGGATATTTTTTTCATCCAAATAAAGACGAGTGAACAAGCTTTGAGATGATACCAATAACTCTACATGCCCCAAAATTGACCAGAGCCTGATTCCACCACGCTGCCTCACATATGTATAAATATATATGTACACCAATGCCAGAGAAAAAACGTTGATCTAGCACTTCGGTATTTTCAGGTATTACGTCTGGGAAGAGAAATACTAATCTCCCTTGAAACATAGTGAAATGGTATTGGACAGGTTTAACGTCCTTATCAACAATATTAGGTGGTTTAAAAGGCAGGACTTACAAGTTCGACGTCCATCTATATAAGGACCGAGCCAAATGGGAAATTCGTGTAAAGTTTCTTTCCTAAGGACACAACGTCAGATCGAGCTGAGGCTCATACCTCAGAAACCGCAATCTAACAAATATGGATCTGGTAGCCAAAGTAACAGACTACAAACACCACAACCTCCCTTGCTCACAGCCATTTTCCTTGTCACCTGATATAATAATGACATTTTTTCTGTTCAATCATGAACTGCCTTTTGACAAATTACTAGTGACTAACCATTGGTGTCCGGGGAAAACGGAATCAGCTAGAAGGTCGGGATGTACTTTGAGTTTTGCTGAAAAAATATTGGTCTAGTACACACCAAAATAAAAGCACTAAAGACAAGTTCACTTATCCATACATAAAGAGCTCAACAGGATCAGAGACTGGTCTACTGAAAACAATAGAAAGCTACACATTATTGTGAATGTCTTCATTCTTTGGATCTCACCAAGTAAAAGATCATGTCACTAAACAAGCATCATAGAAAAGGCCAGGAAGGGCCAGAAAATTATTAAAACTAAAATTATAATTTAGATCATTTAGGAAAAAAGGCCGGTTAGACCGCAGAGCCAATCCAGGATGAGAAAGACACAGCCTCCCAGCAGACAGGCAGTAACTCTTGATAAAATAGCTTCCTAAAACAATAATGAAACAAACTCCTTCTGTGTTTAATTGTGTAGAGCCTACCCATTTCACCACAGACCCCACCTGTTAAACCTACGCTTATGCAGCTATATATATGTGTCAGATAAGTCTAATCCTGCTCTTCAAAACACTGTTTTTCCTTTACAATGATTATACGTTTGGACTTCTAGTGTCTCAAACATAGCTCTACTAATACTTTGAGGTGATTCAAAATGAGACATTGCTGTGCAGCTTCTTTTGAATCTCTCCAACACAGACAGAGCCTCACAAGCTAGCTTGTTCACCAAGTCAAAGTTTATCAACATGTGATGGCAGATGCAAGGACCAATTGTATGAGAAAGTAAATGTTGATGCAATGTTGAGTGAAGACAGAGGGGGCATTGTGAATTACTCAGGGAGTGGCCACTTAATTATCTAATGAATGCTCCAAAGTTGAAAACATCAGAAGAACCTCATGGGCAATGCCAGACAAAAACATGAGCAACTTCACAGAGGTAATCAACACACTCAGGAAAGAATGCAGGGAAAGACTGCTCCCAACAATTTACAGTGACATTCTGGATGAGAATGCCAGGCGAGAAATTAATACCGACAACTCAGTGGTTAGAGGATTCAAGTCAAAATGGACATTCAGTGGATAAATAGCTAGTTTGTCAGTGGGAAAACATGGGGTTTTGACTGCATAAACATATGATCCTGAAGACAAAGGCGCTTTCAAAGAAAATATGAAGAGAGAGCCTCCACACAAGACCCATCATCCTATCCTCTCCACATATCTTATAGGAGAGACAAGCAGTGCATGTTGCTGAGTTGAAACTGAAACTACAAGGACAGGTATACCACATCTTAAACCAACTAATGATAACCGAACCTATCAGCAGCGTAACATTGACATTGAAGTGGACTCTTCAACAAAGGAGGGGAAACAGCTGTTGACCTCTGTGGACGGTCAATCCCTTTCGGATCTGTAGACTACTTTTCCAAATCAGATTTCACAACGTTCATCATTCATTTGAGAGCATTTCACTTTCTGTATCACTTCATTGGGTCTTCTTTCCTATCAAACATCTATCATCCTTATCTCTCCTCCTTCTTTCTTGTGTTTGTTACTCTCTTGTAACACCTCTAATCTTCGGCACTTATATGCCCTTATTGTATTGCAAGTGCCATAAAACTCTTTAAACTAAAACTAAATGGAATAAATTCAAGTGCCTAGAATGCTTTAATTATGAAAACAATGATTACCAGTTCAATACAACTTACTAACACTCTTTCAAAGTAAGTGAACAATAAAAGAACAAAAATTAACAAAGTCACTTCTTGTGAGCAATGATGGAATAATGAATAAGTGCAAAAAGTCAGAAGGGCAGACTGCTTCAGTTTCTGAAATAGGAATACAGTTGTCTCTGCCTAAGATCCCGGTGCTTTGGAGTAGGGGAAATGTGAGATCTTAGGCAAACATGATCTAAGCCGACACAAAAGTGAAGAATCCACAGTGACTCATGTTCAGGCCCACGATCAGTACTTACTCTGAAATGAACTGATGAGACTCATGAGGCGGGTTTATGACTTATGGACAGCAAAAAGTGGTCAACCTTCATGACCAATCACAATGGCATGAGGCACACCGCGTTTATTTCCAATTATGAGCCTCAAGATCTATGCTTTCATTTTGCTCTTCCCCTTTACCTGTCCATAATTTATAGCTTTCCATCTCTGACCAAGTTCCCCAGGCTCTGTCATAACCATCACTGTGTTGAGACTGCACAAATTAAAATTCGGTCTGTTGAGTGAATTCAGATGTAAGACAACTACTGCAACAGTCAGGGAAGCCTTTACAGTTCAATGTGATCCCTTCTAAGGCCCTACCCACCCAGCTTGTGATGTAAGTTCAGGTGGAGAGCTCTCAGATTGGAGGGCCTTGTTAAAAGAAAACAAAGGCAACGACCAGTTCACACCTTGGTTTCATCAAGATTTACAACTAAGATATAATCAAATTATACAAGAGTAGCTGATCTGTAACACAATGGGCAGTTCATTGTTAATATAATATTCTCACTGCTTTGTTGATCAGCTGTGTCACCCGAGTTTTGTTTTGCAAATTATGATCTGAAATGCAGGATGTTAACCGAATGCAATCCTTCAGACCACGGTCTTTAAGGGTGACTTTTGTGCCGTATACAATCTTCTTTCTTAAAACAAGAGGGAAATCATCAGGCTGACCAGGATCGTAAGCAGTGAGATCTTACACAGAGACCACTGTATCTGAACTTTCCAAATGGCAGTGTAGCTGCTGAATACACAAGGCAGACTAAATCAATTTTTCTAAAAATCTCATTTCCACATAACTGCAGATTTTTTTAAAAACCATATCAGACAGACAGGCATGCTTGGTCATTTCAGAGGGTTTATTGATGTCTTTTATTCAATTTTACATCGCCTGAAGAAAAGCCCACAGTTCAGGGTTGACAACCCAAGTATCAGTCTCCACTCTTAACCCTGCAAACATTCACAACACTTTTTTTGTTATATCTAATATTCAAGTGTTTTAACTGTGGCACATTACAGGGGCTTTTATAACAACTTGCAAGGACTTACACTTTACTGCAAGGTGTGAAAATGGAAAAATGGTAGTTCTACAATGTACCCTTTCAAAGGGTTAAAATGAGACTGGGTGTGCTCTTATTGATGGACTGGCAACCTGATTTCATAGATCATATCAGGTAACAGTCTGTGAGTCATTCGATATATATAAATGACAAGTCACAGGCAGGGGGCTTTCCTTCCATCTTAAAGTTAATATATTATGCTGGTTATAATCATCTTTTGCTTCTTCTTCTTCTATCCCGTGGTTGGGGCAACCGTGGGGGCACCACTGCATCTGAAAACCAGCTCTCGCCATTTCTCTTTGTCCTCTGCTTTTCTCAGATAGTCACCCATTGTCTACCCTGTCCACTCTGTGATGTTGTCCTCCCATCTCCTTCTCTGCCTTCCTCTCTTTCTCTTTCCTTGTAGGGTTCCTTGTAGGATTGTTTTGGCAAATCCTGTGGATCTTGTAACATGCCCATACCAATTTAGTTTTCGTCTCTTCACTGTGGTCAGGAGATCTTCATGCTGCCCCACTGCGTTAAATATGATAATCATTTATTTTATAATTCAACAAAGTAGCATTAGTAGACGAAAGCGTTTGGCGCATTTTCCTTCATTAAGTGGTAGCATCTTTTCTCTCCCGAAAAAGTTGCAGCTGGAAATTACATTCCTCCCAATTGCAGCATGATAGCTGGACTGCTTCTCTGTAAACACCTTCCAACAGCCCAGAGACTTAAAACTATAAAATATAGTTTCACCCCCAAAAAAGCTATAAAAGCAAAACATGATTAACCTGAGTAAATCTCTACGGAATAATAGTTATGTTACAATAAAGTCTCCTATTAGGATACAATGTAAAGCAAAAACACTGCCAGGTGAAGATACACTGATATGACTTACACAAGAGACTGTTAGCGGCACTCATTTTCCCATGTCTCATTTATAATAACTAGTGATGTCAATGTAATACTTTTAGATACAGACAGGTAAGAGACGTTAGAGGTGGCCAAAAAAACAGCTTGCCTTACCCATTTCATAATTCTCTTTCCGGAGTTCTTCCATTTGTTTTTATTTAAATAGTATCAGCTTGCAAAGAAGGTTTCAAGAATATACTTCAACCCAAGGCTATTTTCACAAAATTATGTAACAGTAGAGACACAAATCCTCAAAGCGATATTAAAGTAATTAATAGGCCTATAATAATTAATAACAATCATTAATGGGAATTTAACACAAAATCCCTTGCATGCATTGTACAATCCAGAACAAACAAAAAATTATGAGTACTTTATTCTCAATGGCGCAATGCATGCAGTCTTTCCTTTCGTTTTAAAAACAATTAGGCTAGGCCTAGCCGATTAATTTTTGAGTGCATGCATCTGATGTTTGACTGCCAATAATACCACAGAAAGCTTTTAATCAAAATAATGTTTTTAGATAGTTACTATAACTATAAGGAAAAACGCAATCTTCACTTTAACTCTTGTCCTGCGTCTGTGCTGAGATGCGAATCTTATCAGCAACCGATTACGTGCCGGGCAGGCCGCCAGGGTCACTCAGTGTGTACTGTTGGTGTACAGCGCGCGCACCGGGAAACGTGTGTTTTCGCCGTGAATACCGTGGGAGTGTGTTAATGGATGATGAAAATAACGCTCTATCTTTCATAGCTTTCTATTAAGTTTTACAAACACATGAATGAATAACCCCCTCTCACAAGCTGACAAGACATTATGAGAAGTTACGCCCATTCGAATAACCTTTCTGGACGCTCTTGTTGTTATGAATGACCTGAGGTTTGAAAGGGGATAATATAGGTCAATTTCCTAATGTTTTGCACTCAAATTGTTCTTTGTGCCAGCACAATGGTATTCAAAACTATCAAACAAGCTTATTTTTTATCAGGTAGTATCATTTCATACAAAATCAAGCTCATTTGAAAGATTTTGTATAGAAAAATGGAAGTGTAGTTTCCTGACTATCTTTTGAGCTCCTCATGCCTAAGTGGGTCAATTTCTTCTATAATATCATTGAACGAACATCTAGTGCTACCAACTTGGCGCGTTTTGAATGAGACGTATGCTTCGATTACGAACCAACGCAGGCGCTTCTAGAAGAAGGCCACAAACGCACACAAACTTAACAAGACTGACGCACACACACTTGACCTGCGTGAATGGGGATCCGACTCGGGACCCGAATTTCTTGTTAGATGATGCACGGTGCGCGTGTGCTGAGCCAGGGGCTACACTGATTCGGGACCACAACGTCGAGGTGACGAAATAGGCTTATCGGGCGACATAAACCCGTCCCCCGCAGGACGAGAGTTAAAAAATTATTTTTTCCTTGAAATTCATTAACTCATAATATAATATAGAATCTAGATCTATGCCCTTGCTTTATTAACAAAGGTGTTCTTTGCAGCCTTCCAAACTACTATAGTATAGGCCTACCAAAATTAAAATCACTAATTTTATTAGTACACATTAATTGGCTTTATATAATTGTTGATGCCAGGCAGTTGCCCAACTACTACCTTCTAATCCTAAGTCCTCTCTGACTGAACTGACTGCTACTGCTTCACTACAATAAATTATAATGAAACAATAATTAGCACAGTCAGCCTCAACAACAGTAACAGTATTATATATTCAAAAAGTCATCATCATCTTGAAAAAAGGCAACTGACCGTTGATTATTTTTTACCATTCATGATCTCTACAAGTACTAAATCTAGGGACAGACAATAAACTCTTTTACTGCAACTTGTCAACTGTCTGCAACAACAAGTGCCAGGACTGAGGAGATGGACACACCTCCAACCAATGCTAACATTAGTATGGAGTCGTATCAGACTTGCCAACACAACTGTGATGTGTGCACAATAGACATGGGCCAGTACACACAATAGGGCTCAAATTCAAACTCATTATGCATCTTTTCGCACAATTGGAATAGATTGAATTTGAAATGTCATCATCATTGTCACAGTCATACATACCAAATGGAGGACTGTGTCAACGACATCCTTGTTTGTAACTTGCTTCAGTTCAATCAAACCGATCAACAATCCAAATTTCAATTCATCGTTGCCAGTCAGATTCAATATCCCTCCAACCGTTTTTACATCCTTTCCTTCTTCCTCTGTTTCAGTCGACATCGTCACAATTTAATATTTCCTAGATCTAGTTGCAACAACAGAAAGCATAGAGCATTCACTGTCGGCTTCTTTGGATAGCAGACATTGCAGTCGCTTTGCTCCAGGTGTACAGGATCGATTGCGTTAATTCTTTGACCTGAATACCGGTTTTCGACATATTGATTACGATTCCTTCTATTTTTAAAAAAAAAGAGAGAGAGAGAGAGAGAGAGAGTATTTTGATTGTCGAACAATCTACAAAGAATAAATTTAATGAAGCTGCAACGTTGAAATGAAACAGTGACATTGTCATTTTTTTCCCTCCAGTCCCATATATCTGAAATCCGAGGTTAACTTCTTCTTCTTAATAATTATGATTTCTTCTTCTAATTCCTGTGTGTTCTCAGTGTGATGACATGATTAAGCTACGTTAGTTTGTGCTAAATTGCAAACTATAAATTGTAAATAATCCGTGTTGTCCATTCCCTGGCAAGACAGAGATGAAATGTAATTATTATGACCAATACAAGTGCAGGTTAACCTACATTGTACCTACATCAGGTAGGCCCACTTTACAATCACAGAATAAAGCCAGCCTGTTGCTACAGCCTATCAATGTAGCATTTTAAGAGTCGATTTAGGAAATGGAAACAATGAAAACCAAACCCATGATCACTTTTTCAGATATAATGGAATAAAATACAAAGTCATAGATATTATATGATTTTCTTTTTTTTTCGATGAGTGTAGCCGAGTGCTTAGTAAGTGCGTGTGTGTGTGGGGGGGGGGGAGGTTGGGGGGGGGGGGGGGGGGCTGATCAGAGAGGAACGGGTGTACTCGGCGATAGCAGTTACATATGTTTAAATTCACTGACCAATGGCAGTTTGGTGGCGCAAAAATATACTTCTTTAAAATCAATGTGGACTGAGTGTGTGTGCCTGTGCATGTATATGTGTGCCTGCATGTGTTTGTTTTTTCGCTTGTTTGTTTGTTCGTTTGTTTGTTTGCTTGCTTGCTTGAGAGAGAAGAGAGAGAGAGCACAAGGGGGGGGGGGGTAATCGCTTGACCCAAAGAAGGAAGTACAATCACAATTAGTGTGCATCATGTTGAGTGAGGTGGAAATCCAAACCCCTGCAATTTGATTGTGAGTAAAGTAATTTATTCATCGAGACACCAGCCATCCATCTAGTGTCCAGGTGCTGTTTTAGCCTGTTCGAGTATAAAGCTTTACACCAGACTGTTTATGTAGCCTACCTTCAAAATCGTGTTTCAAGCGTGCCTTATCTGGTAAGTTGAAGTTTGATCTGACATGAGTTTGATTCTTGTTCTCAGCTTTTCGTACAGTTTTGACTGATGTCGAAGCTAAGTATGCTATAGAAATAGCCAGTCCTTTTTTTTTGGGGGGGGGGGAGTCGTAAGGTTGTTGTTGTTTTTTAATTGTGTTGTTTTTTTCATTTGAATTGTTGCACTCTTAGGCAGTCATAGCTCTCTTTTTTTTGGGGGGGGTGGTCACAGTATGGGTCACCTTAAGCCTGTCACAGCAAAAGAAAAATGGTAAGTTTAAAATCATCGAGGTGAAATACCGGCAGGCTACCCATACCGCGACTGACTTTAATCTTACTTTACTGTTATTTTTTATAAAGCCATAACAAGATATTATAAAAGCTTTGTAAGAGGAGCTGTAAAAACTCTTGAATCTTATCAACATTATAAAGAAAGAGACCCAAAAACATGTGTAACTAGGAATGGTAATTAGATTTTTCTTCCTTTTATAAAAAGTTCTTCAGAAGGCAACATAGCAGCCGGACGTGGCATCGTGACACCGCGCCTGATTCTAAAGTTTTCATGAATTAGAGCTTAGAATCGATTACAATAAACGAGTATCGTTGGTTCTCTTCTGGGAATATCGAGTGCAATATTTACTGCAGATTAGTTTACTTCCGTATTCATGAAGATGTAATGACATTCTTACAATATAAGTGGATGAAAATAACAGGCACGAGACTGTAACTATCCATTTATAAAAATACAATCCTAATTAGTTTTCAGTAATGATTGAAATCAAGCATTGTGTTTTCTCAGGCCTCAAAATGAAATAATATTTTTTGTGATTTTAACCGTAGCTGCTTGACTGTTATAGTATGTCCAGATTTAGCAGGCAGATTGTTCAGCGGTTAGTTTTCGGTTTTCAGGTTAGAAGAAGAAGCAACAATAACAACCTCAACAACAACAACAACAACAACAACATTAATAATCTCAAAATTTACTGTTAAATTTAGGTTGAATTTGAACAAAAAGGGACCAAGCTAACACAGCATTCAGCACTGTTGAACTTCATAAAGGATAGCGCGTTACAAGTTGATGCGATATACTATTAGACCTTTGGTGTAGACCTAAAATGTTTGGAAAAAAAACCAACCCAAGAACGGGAAAACCAAACTGCAATTTTTATGTTTGTTTGTTATTGTTTTGGGGTGGGTTTTCTTCTTTTTTTTGGGGGGGGGGGGTATCAACGCACGTTGAATGTCAGATTATGTCTCCTTTAAACCTGTCACACCCCCAGTCTGTTGTGCGCGACGAGGTCTCGATCGCTGCATGGACTGATCGCTGGCGACGGTCGCGCGCGACGAAACGTCTCGACGCACGTAATACGGGGTGCCCACTACGGACGGGATCGGCCGATCGAGGCGACGGGCGCCTCAAAAACAAACCTGTTTGTTTTCAGTTTCAGGCGGTCGAGTCGGGCGATCGCCTCGATCGGCCGATCGCCTCGATCGGCCGATCCCGTCCGTAGTGGGCAGAGGAGTAGAGTTGGGTTGGGCTCGCAAAATTAGCGTCCGCGAGTAACGAACTACATCGCTGGCACCATCGCAAACGAGCGGACGGGTAACGAGCCGTCCGCTTTTGAAAATTCGTTCGCTACTCGCTACACATCGGACAGAAAGTTCGTTTAGCGAGCGGGCGGACGGACGGGTGACTCCTTCCATTGCCCACTATTTCAACCCCCCCCCCCCCAAAATCACCCTCCTGCCCCACCTTGTAGCTTTGTAGCTAGGCGTTCATGGCGGAAATTTCTCTCCCCCCCTTACCCGAGAGGGTTTACAGTAATAGTATTACTGTAAACTCTCTGGTACTACGTTACTAGCCTCTCTCACTCCCTGTGGCACCGCTAGTGGTTTGAGACATTAGGCCTAATTAACAAACAATAGACGATGGGCCTAACATCTCGTCAAGTGGGCTATGCTGTCTGCTAGAGTTCGTCCGTTCGCCCGCCCGCTCAGTGAATAAGATTCTGGAGCGGACCCACAAAACGAACTGACTTGAGGTTCGCTGTCCGCTCGCATGGCCGTCCGTTACCCACTCGCTCTGACTGAGTCCACGAGTAACGAACCCGTCCGTCCTCTCGCCCCAACTCTAGTAAGGAGACGGCCAATTCTTTATAAAAATTTACTTAGTTGATTTTGAACCAGCAAGGACTCCTTATGTCTCCTTATGCAAGGTCGCTAGAGATGAGTCGTCGTGAGCGACAAATCAAACAGTGTGCCGACCGGCATGCCTTTGCTACGTATGTTAATGAATAGTGATGTTTTTTAAAAACTTGTCAACCTCCCAAGTCTATTGCGCACGCCAAAGTCTCGATCTGTACATGAACCGATCGCTGTCAACGGTAGTGCGCGACTAGACGTTGCGGCGCGCGTAATACGGGGTGCCCATTATAGCGGGTGGGGCCGCCGCTATGGGCACCCTGTATAAGGAGACGGGTTCTTTATTGTCTTACTTGATTGATTTTGGAGCGGCAAGAGGCGACACGACGTCGCGTCGCACATAAGGAGACGCACCCTTAGTCTATGTCTCCTTATGCGCAACTCATTTGGAGTACACTGAAGTAGGCTATTTGGCCAGACTGTCACATACAGTTGAAACACTGAGCTCCCTGCTGTGAATCTCTATCCAATACGGTATGTGCATAGTGATAATGGTATACCCAAGGCTCCAAATCTTCGTCGACAATTAGTACGCCCTCGTATTGTTCAACAGTTGTAAATATTCCTAGCGCATCATCATCATCCGGTGCCTTGCCGACTCGGGTGGGCGATCATGACCTCCCCAGCACTCTGTCTTGCGTTGCAGCAATGGTGTCTGTTGTTCTTTCTGCTCCTAGCCATGTTGTTATCTTTTCCGGTGTCTTTTCCCTCTGTCTGCCTCTGCCTCTCTTTCCATCAAACTTGCCTGTTGTTCCATTCTCCAATGCTTCTTTCCGCATTGTGTGTTCGAAGAAATTTGCCTGATGCTTTCGTATATTTCGTCATAAACTGTCTTCTAAAATTTGCTTCAACCAAGACTTCTTCATTTGTTTTTCTAGTTGTCCACGGGATACGTAGTATGCGTCTTATGAACCATAACTCTGTCGCCACAATTGTTCTTTCCAGGTATTTAATTGATTGTCCATGCTTCGCACCCGTATTATAGGATTGGCTCGATGTAACTTTTCAGTGCTCTTCTTCTTGTTTACAGTGACATATTGATGTTTGTAAGTATCTGTTTCATTTTGTGGAAGGTTGCTTTTGCTTGGCAAATGCGGCTTTTAATTTCGAGAGAGAGAGAGAGAGAGAGAGAGAGAGAGAGAGAGAGAGAGAGAGAGAGAGAGAGAGAGAGAGAGAGAGAGAGAGAGAGACCCGTGTTTTCATTCTTCCTAATGGTCGAGAAGGTAATAACCTAACGGGTGATACATATTATATATATATATATGTGTGTGTGTGTGTGTGTGTGTGTGTGTGTGTGTGTGTGTGTGTGTGTGTGTGTGTGTGTGTGTGTGTGTGTGCGCGTGTGCGCGTGTGTGTGTGTGTGTGTATTTTTTAAAAAATTGTTAATTATTAAGGTGTATTTTTGTGCAATAAATGTTTTTAAAAACCTATTGGTGGAGATTTATCTAGAACTACTTCAAAGACAAGGTTGTTGTCCATCGAAATGCTAAACACAAAGAGCGCATACAAAAATCTTGAATACCCGGTACGTTAGTCGACAGTCCTGCCATATCACATTTCTTTATATCCAACATCAGATTTCTCTTCAAAGTAAAACATGTTCCCTGACTGGAAAGTGAGACCCAAGAGAATGAAATGTAAGCAGGACCTCATGATTTTCTAATTTAATGTGGGTGTTTTTACACACCTATCGACACAATTCAAATTTAGATTATTCAGGAGGTGGCCTTCCGACCTTGTCTCTCGGGATCAACCCGGGCAGAGATGTATACAGCATGCCAGTATAAAGACCAAGATATTCAATACAAATTTCTCCCCATTAGGGAATCAACCTTGTGTTTCCTGCGTGCGACAGTGAAACGCATTACATGTAAATACAATTTTGCCACAGGCCTTCCTTCAGGATGTACTTGTGAGCGGTGGGCTGATGCTGTGTTGTGGTTTGCTACTTCTTTCCTATCAAACATCGATCATCCTTATATTTCCTCCATTTTGTTTGTTTGTTACTCTCTCATAGCCCTTCTAACTATGATCTTGGACACTTATAATATGACCTTAATGTGTTCCAAGTGCGGTAAAACTTTTTCTAAACAAAAAATAAATAAATCAACAGTAAAAAAAAAAAAGAAGAGGAAAATATCTACTGTTGGTTTCTATCTTCTTAAATAGGCCCATACCGAATAGAAGCTTCATCGACACTACTGCGCCTGATTGTTTGTACCCTCTCTGCATGAGGTCATCCGGCGAAAATTATAAAGCTTTCACCTTTACGAAGATGAAAACGATATCTTCGTACATCTACCTGAGCGGATGGTTGTAGGGCGCCGCAAAGAGAGAGAGAGGGAGAGAGAGTGAGAGAGAGAGTGAGAGAAAGAGAGAGAGAGGGGGGGGGAGGAGGGGGGGGGGCGAGAGAGAGTGAGAGAGAGAGAGGGGGGGCGAAACACATACACACACACACACGCGCGCACACACACACACACACACACACACACACACAGACACTCACACATACACACACAAACACAGAGAGAGAGCGGGAGAGAGAAGAAGAGCGAGAAAGAGAGAGAGAGAGAGAGAGAGAGAGTGGGAGAGAGAGAGAAAGAGAGAAAAGAATCGAAGGAGAGAGGGAGAGAGGCGGACAGAGAGTTAAAGAGAGACAGAGAGCGAAACCCGCACACACACAAATAGAGAGAGAGAGAGAGAGAGAGAGAGAGAGAGAGAGAGAGAGAGAGAGAGAGAGACAGACAGACAGACAGACAGACAGACAGACAGACAGACAGACAGACAGACAGACAGACAGACAGACAGAGAAGGGGGGGGGGGAGGCAGAAATAGAGAGAAAATAAGAAAGAGAGAGAGAGACAGACACAGGCAGACGGAGCGAGAGAGAAAGAGAGATAGAGAGAGACACATACACTCAACAAACACACACACACGCGCGCGCGCGCACGCTCGAGAGACAGAGAGAGAGAGAGAGAGAGAGAGAAAGAGAGAGAGAGAGAGAGAGGGGGGGTGGTGATGGTATATATACTTATATTTCAAAGTATTCTGATAGTTTAAAAAAAAATACATTGCTTGAAATACGCCGTCTTTCGATATCGACGCCAGTTGAATTTGATGTAGCGTCTGGGTGCTTCACTGTCGCATGCAGGAGACCCAAGTTCGATTCCCGACTTAGGAGAAATCTGTAGACTAGCCTATCGAGTATCTTGGTCTTTCTGCTGGGTTGTATAGGCTAGGCCACCTCTCAACCCACGTTGGCCTGCCTTTTATAGAGGCAGGGTCGGAAGCCCGCCTCCCTAATGATCTAATTGTGTCGATGGAGGCGTAAAAAGGCATACATAAAATGAGCAGTTTTAATTCATGAGTCTTGATACCCGCACAAACTTGCATTGTTTCAGTACAATAATAATTAAATGAAAAGATGTTTTTTTTCCGGCTTTCATGGGTTACATTCACGCTCTGGTGCCATCTTCGATGCCATCTTCGATTGTTTGTGAGTGGTGCAGAGTGTTGCTGTTATTTGAGTAATTTGTCTTCTGCAACACAGAGAGTAACTCAATGTAGGCTAGACAGGATGTTTAATCATCTGTGAATTACTCACAAAAGAAGCGTTTGTATTCCAGTATCAAGTATCAACAGAGCGAAATTCTTCGAATTCCGTATAGTTATCCAGATTTAGCATATGAAAAATGTCTTTGTTGAACATTGGTTGCTTACGTGTTAGCAAAAATGACATGTTCATAACTATGGTATTTAAAAAAAAAATGTTTTTATTGTTTTGTTTACACCTCTGGGGATGTGTGAACTGTGGCGAACAATGAACACAACCTCTGGGGACGGCAGATAGAAAGTAGATCTAGTCTATTCTCTTGTTGCTCATTTTTTTCGAGTCTCGGCCGAACATTAATTTTTCTTTTGCAGTTCGGAAACTTAACATAATCTGGGAACACAAGGAAGTTGAATCTTTGTGTGCTCTCCATCCATCCATCCATCCCTCTGTGAGACTGTGATCTGTCAGACTTCCTGAGTTCTTCACTGGAACCTCTGGAATATCGCAAAGAGTATGGCCACTGAAGTAGAATTAGTGAGTGCACGCCCTAACACGATGCATGGGGAATCTGATTTCTTTGAAATATTACTAAATCTAACCCAATGCCACTTTTGTTTTCCCCTCTGAAGATCTAACCGACTCGGATGTGTGTTGACCTGGTTCTTGAGGAACGGCCTCATCTTGGTCTTGGTCCTGGTTTGATGAGCCGGTCCTACAGCCTACACCATAGCTAAGAAGTGAATCACCCATTATATCTCGATTCTAGATCTAGATTCTAGATAGAGATCTAGATATTCTCTTAGACAAAACATTCCTTACAGAATTTGATTAGCTTAGAAAATGGTCAGCTTCAAGTTAATTGCTGGGTTTTGGCTTTTGGAGATTTGGAACTTGTACTTGTATATATTGCAGATCTAGATTCTAGATTATCTAGATCTAGATCTAGAATTAGTAGAATCTTCTATATATCTAGATTTAGATCTAGAAATCTAGATCTAGATTCTAGATCTAGATTCTAGATCTAGATCTAGTAGATGATCTAGCTATACTACTTTTTTACTTTTTACTTTTAATTCTAAACTAAGATCTCTAGAATCTATAAATCTAGATATAGATCTAGATTAGATCTAAATAAATATCTAGATCAGATCTAGATCTAGATCTAGATCTAGACTCTAAATCTAAATGAAAATAACTAATTTGAATAAGATTTAAGTGTCCAGTTTCAATGCCTACTGATAAAATTGATAAAACATCTCTTTGAAATGTGTGTCTTCACTGCTACTTCTACTACACATAAATCTAGATCTAGTTCTCTGCATGATTTAGACTCTACTTTTTGCATTCTAACTGAGGGCCAAGAGCCACAACCAGAAGTCTGGACTGGAGTACTATGGGGTGCCCACTAGCGCGATCGGGTCGGGTCGATTTGGTGGTCGGAACTAGCCAAATTGAGGGCGCAAAGCGGCCATCGTGGCACAAAACGATCGACTCGGTCGGTGACCTTAAAAAACAAACGCGTTTTTGGTTTCAGGCCTGCGAGTCGCGCGATCGGGTAGTTTGCAGCCAATCACAACGAGGCTGAGTCACATGTCTATGTTGACACTCAAAATCCAGTGGTGCCCTCTTTGAAAAAGTGCAGACTTTGTGAACAGAATTGTAAACCCTACTTGTGTGAAAAACAATAAAAGCGAAACTAACAAACTGTGCTTTTCCTATTCTTCTTCTGGAAAAACGAAAGGGAGCTTCAAAACAAAGACTGCAGTGCCATCTGAACCAATGCGCAGTCTTCTGCAGAGATGCTTTTTTGGCCTGAGTGGACTATCTTGTTATGAACGATCTTATAATAGAAATTTATGGATGTACCTATGTTTATGGGATTCGAAGCTGCCGCAGCACTGCGACAGGGTACTGTGGAAAGGAGTTAAGAAGCCCTGGAAGCCATTGAGGTTAAAGGTTTCTTTACTTTAACTTCCAGGTCATCGGGTACAATTGCGTTGGGGCTGTAGTGTGCACTGAAACCACCAGAAAACGGCCCGACCGGGCCCGACCCGATCGCGCTAATGGGCATCCCTTATTTGACTTAATTTGATTTTCTGGGTATTCTATTTTACTTTTACAACTCTTAGTCTTAGGTTTTGTATAGCCCTTTCTGGTACCGGTACTGGCGGTTCCCAACACCCAGTGCCGGGAAAGGACCGGCACAGGGTTTTGCATTCCCCCCTGAGGTAAAAGAAAATGTTGGAGGTTTACATTGTGGCCTGCCACCTGTTTTTCCCCTCAATAATTTGTTGTTTTTCAATGAGATCTAGGTTTGAAATTTTTCTAGTATAATTGATTTGCGACGACAGCTTTAGTGGCCGCAGCAAAAATTACTGCAGTTTGACCCCCGAAGCAGTGCATCTGTTTATGGGGGTGAAAGTAAAATTTCATGTATCTGATCTGTCCTCTTCTTTTTATTAGAGTATATTTATTTTTAAAGTAAATGGACTTCTGAATGAAACTCCCAGACTGATCCCAAGCACTCAGGCATCCTCTCAATTTCAGCTCTGATTTGATTTAAAGTTGATTTTTATGCTGCTCCATTCAAATTCAAAGATCTCCATGCTTTTTATAGAGGTCTTACCACTTTGACTTTTGGACTTTTGTCATGTTTTATAAAAATATATAGTGTCACTTTCTCTGCAGTTCTTTGAAGAGGAAGTTAGGTAAATTTTTACTTTCACTTCCGCACACAGATGCACTGTTTCAGGGGTCAACAAACCGCAGTACTGTTTGCTGCAGATCACACATAAAGCCACTAAAACTGTCGCAAATCAATTATTTTCAAGACAATTTCAAATCTACTGTAAAATATCAAATTTTTTGGGTAAAAATAGGGGGGCATGCCCCCCTGTAACTCCCCAGATTTTCTTTTCCCCAGCGGGGCAGGCCCCCCTGAAACGCCCCGATTGGTCCAAAGCATGTCGATCTCGGTTAAAAAACAATCAAATTTTTCAAAAATTATTAATTTGCGACGGAAATGAAGTTGATATTCGTGTTCAGCGCATCAATATTTAGTAGAAAATAGACAACTGGTAGCTGAGTGTGAGACGGGAGGGAAAGTAAAAAAATACAGGAAGTTCAGCAAGTTTTCTTGAAAAAGAAGTTGAGACTGGAATGTAACTCACCTTTCTAGTTATGACGGCATTAATTTGGGCCAAATTTAAAAAGTGGCCTTTGTTGTGGTTTTGTCAAACTGTTGACTTTACACTGTATAAAGTAAGGTTGATATTTAGCTTTTATGATAAATTATTAATTTGATTAATGATTGTTTATGTAATATCATATATTACACTATTTATCTTTGTTGGTATCATCATAGTGAGGTCTTTTGATGGTTAGAGGTACCAGCAACAATGAGACTGCTGAATAGACTGTTTATAGTTTTTCTCCATGTGAGGTAAAAAAGGTTCAGAGTTTGGTCAGATTGAACACTTTTCTTAGAAGGGATGCCCATTGGTCAAGTGAATCCCCTGATCAAATTTGGTCAGGCTTGGTAATGCACACACTATATCTGTTTAGACTTCTCTGCTCTGTTTTGCTTATATTTTTCAAATCTGACCAACTTCTCTATGCAGGCATCCTTTTTATCAATTTTAGTTCCACGCCTCTTCTCTTTTATAATTTCAATCTTACTCTCTAATAATATTAATATCCATTACAGCATGACTTTGACTAACTCCTGTAAAGGGTTGCATGTTGATCGTGTTTTGTGACTTTCATCTGTCTATGGACCTGAATTTGTTTGGATGGGCAAATTGTTGGTATTCATCTAGAACATGGATATATATAATTTTTAATCTCAGGGAAATATAAATTTATGATTGAATCTTTCTTGAAAAATGAAACTTGAATTACATTTTTTACTATTTTACAACATTGTCTGAAAATCGCTGTCAAAATCATATGGACCGATACAGGTTGTTCTTCTTACTGGTGTCAAGTTCTAATCCATGGTCTTTGTGAATCTGATGATCATTGCTGTGTTTGACACTTTTATACAAAGGAGTGGAAAGAGCATGATGACAAACTGGGCATATTTTTTTTTACTCTTATGGTTTTTAAAAATAAAAACATAAATCAACATTTATTATATTTTCATGACTAAATAAAATGAAAAATGATTTTCAAGTATTTTTGCTCTGGAAATACCATTTTAAACTCATGTTTTTTTTATCATTTGCCAGCCTCCCCAACTTCTCAAAGACGCCATGCGTGCCCTCAACCTGACCGGTCATGTGGGGTTTGATAGCCTCCCTGACCAGTTAGTGAATAAGTCGGTAGCCCAAGGATTCTGTTTCAACATACTGTGTGTCGGTGAGTCACAACTTGTTGTAGTTGTCAAATGCGCTCAGTTCATTTTTGACATCATCTGTCTAGTTGTGATACCCGTAGAGCTAAAACAACAAGAGCTTGTTTGGTTTCTTTGAAAACTGAAGTAAAGTTTATCTAGTATGATGTGGCCATGAAACTTAACAGGAAAACAGAGTGGGAAAGCATCATGTTTCATGTTATATCTATTGTTTTCTTCCAAATTCCAAAACATCTCTCCAAGAAAGAAAAACAACAGATTGTCGAACAATTATAATTTCTTAAAAACATTACAGAACAAAAATCATTTTACAAAAAAAAAAGTATTTTGTATTTCTAGGAAAGTTCTAATGATAGTTTAACTTTTGTCAAGCATTGCAACAAAAAGAAAACATCTGAAAAGAGAAAGAAAAATTAAGCATAGAGATATAAATTAATGTTTAAAGAAATTATCTGCAAAACTTCTGAGAATTGAAGTCCATGATTAGAATAATAATGTACTCTTTTGATTTTATCTTATTTAAGGGTCTTATTGGATCTGTTTTAAAAGCGCATTAATTATTGGCTCATAGTACATCACATCTTAATCATTACTTTCACAAGACAAAAATTGTATACACTGGAGTGGCTGGCACATGCGTAACTACCTCATGAAAGATTGATTGTGTTGCAGCATCCATAATCAAATGAATATTGTAAAGCTAGAATCTTTCTTTTCAAGGTGAGACTGGCATTGGCAAGTCAACCATGATGGACACACTATTCAACACAAACTTCGACTCCACCCCGAGTTCTCATGATCTGCCAGGAGTGAAGCTCAAGGCCCACACTTACGGTGAACATTATGATTCCATGCTTGTTTTGTTTGTATAAATGATATGATGTGGGGAACTTTTTTTTTTCAACCTTTTTGGGGCCCAGATACTTTTTCGATTCATTTATGAAGATTTGGACAACTGCTTACAAAAGAATAATGAGCTGCATAAAAATCATGTTTTTTTCTGTGAACTTCATGACTCATTAGTGAATTGCATCCATGAGGTTGTTGAGGAATCAAGATATTCCACGAGGAACTAACATAGATGTAATTGTATTTTATTCATTACTAATCATTTCTCTTGTTTAGTGTGCCATATTTCTAATATCACTTTAAAAGTGCTTCTCTTCTTTTAAATTTAAAAATTACTTGCTCTTGAATAGTTTAAATCAAGTAAAACGTTTCTGACAGGTGCTCCCAAACGACTTCTTGTCAGGGTTTTTTTAATTTACTGTCTTAAGTCTACCACTCTGACTTTGAACTTTTGAATCTGGCATTATATGTTCTGACCTGGTCAATAGGAATATATTTCACTTTGAATGTATGGCTTTCTGATTTTGTTGTAGATGATGTTTTTAGCTGATGTAGAACATTCTCAATGAGAACTTACTCGGTTATTTTTGCTTTTGTGTAACGTTAAATAAGTGGAGTCTGCTGAAACCAAAATCTGCAGGACTACCAGATTTTTTTAGGTTTAGAGTGCTGCGTTTTTGTTTTTTAAACGTGCTCGGTAGACGCGGACTCTACTGTACTTCCTTTTGCAGTTTGGTCCAGAGTTGATTTATTAGTGATGAAGTTAACATTGTTTTCCAATATTTGTGTGTGTGCCTAAAGAAAGGTACAAAAAGTCGCCACAGACCATTTTGAGCTACAGGCTGATGACAAAAAATCACTTTTTTGACCAAAATGTGTTTTCATAAAAAAATGATAGTTCCACCATTTGTTAACAATGTGTTAAAAGGGTTTTCATTGGTTTGACTCCCAAATATTTTATTTTGAATAATTTTGAGACTAAGGTATTTTTTAAAGATATTCAACGAACACTGCTTTTAGTTTTAGAAAGTGTTCAAATCTGTTCTTGAAGCAGGTTTTCTCTTCCTCGCCATGTTTTATCATTAAATTCTGATCATGATATTGATGTCTGTTGAATGCCAAATTGGAAATGAATTTTCCAAGAAAAAAACCCCATTGGAAACTTGAATCATTGGTTTTTTAAAGTTAGTAAGTGTCTTAAACTTAAAAGCTAATTTTATCAAAATTAGATCTTTTTACAGTACGTAAATGTACAGCATCTAAAAAATTACTTGAGATATCTCAAAAATTAAAAAAACCCACTGTGTTCAGCATTGAATTATCTATAAAAGGTGCAACCCTTAATTCAAAACGGTCAAATCCGACTTTTTGTACCTTTCTTTAGGCACACGTACATTTTTGTTTTATATATTATGTCGTAGATTTTAGGATGGAAGACTACCGATTGGGTGGAATACTATTTGTCAAGAATAAATCAATATCTCTAGTATGTGACATCTTTTTGCATCAGCTGTACCTTCCCCCTCCCATCTTCCCGTCTTTATCGAGTGGTTCTACGCCCATTTTCAGATCTGAATGAGAGTAATGTTCGCTTGAAATTAACTATAGTAGACAGCACTGGTTTTGGTGATCAGATCAATAAGGACCATAGGTAAGGAAATTTACTTTGCTTTGGAGTTTCTTTCAGAGAAATACCTGGCTCTGTCAGATCAGAGGATCTGTCTTCATGGACAATTTACCTCCTTGCACTATGAGATGGGAGAAAGTATTCTGAGAATTTGAGCATATTTTTGTGCGTGTTCTCCATTACCCCTTAGCTTCGTAAAAAGGAACAGAACCCCACCCCCCACAGTCAAAACTTGTAACCAATCTGAAGGGGTAATGGATTAGCACATAAGTGCAGGAAGTTTCCAGGAAATTAATATGGGTTGGTAATCTGTAAAGGTTATAATTGCGGTCTCTTAGTGTCATGACCTGATTATTGTAGTATTCATTCTTTAAGCAAAGAATTTCTCATTTTTATTATTACACCCTCAAAGGTATGAGTCCATGAAGATGGAGACTATGATCTTGCATTTACTTCTCTGATTTATTCTTTTTTTTCCCCACAAAACGTTCTGGTATCACCCACTTTTTAATGACTCGTCATACTTCTTTCTCATTGGCCTTCTTCCCATTTTCAGAACTTCGTGAAAAGAATGTGCTTTTAAAACTGACTCTGGTGGACTCTGTAGGGTTTGGGGATCAGATTAACAAAGATGATAGGTGAGGTCAAGGTAGTTTTTGGATGTAGTGCATTCCTTTTGTGTTTTGCGTGCAGCCCTTCAAGTTAGTCCTCAGAGTTTAGTGAGGTGCTTGAAAATGTCTAGTCCTTAGTGCCTGACAGTATCTTGCAGGGTTGTACTTTTGTATGGAGGTTGTTGTTTTTTTCTTTTTCTTCTATTTTCAGTATTTTTATTTGTTTATGTATGGTTGGCTGATTTTATTTATCTTATATATCTCGAACTGTAAATTTTTTCTGTTGTCTTTTCTTTATCAGTCGTTGTGTTTATGTAGTTTAGAAGTTGATAGGGTGTGGTGTATACACGTGTTTTGGCAAGGGTTCTTATTTTTAAATATATATATATGATATACGAGAATTGCACATTCTTTTTCATTCTGATGCCACTGACAATATTACTGATAATTTTCTATATATGTACAAGGAAAGCCTTTTCTGTTCTGCTCTATTGCTACGGCTTGTCTCTTTTTATTCAACTGCATGGGCAGTCACTGTATCACTGAAGTTAGAAAGTTGTAAACTTTCCACTGAACCATACCGATGTAGAAACTGTACCATAACAACATAATAACTGTATTATTATAGTTGCAGTAATATTCTATGAAAGTGTAGAACTGTACTATAACTCTGTAGTCACTGTACCATAACAATACTAGTAACTGTTCTGTATCTCAGCAAGACTTGCCTCATAACTGTACCGTTTAAGAGTGTAGTAATTGTACCATTATTATATTATAACCGTGTAGTAACTGTACTGTAATAGCCTAGTAATAAGTGTGTATATATACTGTACTATAGTAATACTTGTGACTGTACCATAGCAGTGTAGAAAGTGTGCTATAACAGTCTGATAACTGCCATATAATAGTGTAGTAACTGTACCATAGCTATACTAGTGACTGTATCATAGCAGTGTAGAAACTGTGCTATAACAGTCTGGTAACTAACTACTGTACTATAACATTCGAGTCACTGTACCATAGCAATACTAGTAACTGTACTATATAGCTGTGTAGTCACTGGACCATAGCAATACTAGTAACTGTACTATAATAGTGTAGTAACTGTGCTCTTGCAAGCGGTGTAATAACCGTGTCATAATAGTTGTATGATATCTGTAACAAATGACTCCATCTATATAGTTTATATTTGTGAAATGTATGCACGTTTATTCTGGGCACTTTCTCTGCGTTATTGTACTTGACGTTTCTTCTTACTGAAGCACAGCCTGGGACTCCGAGCTCTCAAAATATTAGTTCTCTTTTGAAAAAAAATCCATTTGCCTGCAAATCCTTTGGGTACAAATAAGCGAAGACCCGAAAATATGGACTATTATATTTCTGTCTTGAGAGTTATTAGGCTTAGGATTTCTCTGTTCAAAGTGGCAATTTGAAAAGAATGGGACTTGTTGGTCTGGAAATGTTTAGGTCAAATAAATGATTATCTAATTGTTGGAAATTGCATGCCATTTCAAGTCCCTAGTGTCAATAAGGGAAGAAATAAGGCCTCTTTAAAGCATATCGCTTAATTATTATTATTGTTCCAGTAAAACCAGTCCAACTGGACTTTCAAGGTTTGTGATTTTCGTCATAGCATCTAAAATTAAACAACTAATGGATGAAGCTCCAAGCCAGATCCTTTTAGCTTCATTCGCACCTCTTGGCTTCCTGGCTTACTGCAGATGTGGCAAACTCACCATAACGCCATGTCTTCGCGTGTGTGACTCTATGAAATTGACAAGGCCGCTTTGCAGTCAGTTTTAGGAAAGTCACCTTGTTTTGAACGTATAAGGGGCGTCATCTCAATTAGTAATGTTCAATCTTGGACTGATTTATTTTACTTTTTTTTTCCCTGTTGAACATAATGCATGAATAGTATTTTGTTAGAAAAGGTCAGAATCATAGTGAGGGTGTGTAAGAATGGAGGGGGGGGGGGGGAGAGAAAAGTGCAGCGCGTGTCACTTAACTCTGATTGTTTTCACTTGGCTTCTGATTTTCACGGTTGTTCTTCAAATTTTTTGCTTTTTCTCGGCAGCTTTTGACTCGCTTAACTGACTACTTGCTCTTGAAAACACTTATCCTTTTGCAGATTGCATACTGTCAAAAACTTTACACATAACCTCATCCACTGCCCTCCCCCCGTCCAGAATAGAAAAGATATAAATGTACCACTTTTGCATGCTCCCTATTTTCCTCACTTATTGTTGTAGGTAATATTTTATGCTGTGAGCTCTTCACCAATTTTGGAACATGAACTGGGGAATACCTGCCTAAGTTGAGGCTTATGTTCCATCCATACTGGTCAATTTTATTTCTTTGAATAGACTTTTATCAAAATGAAACTGCTTTTTGAAGGTGTATATGGGAATGCCTGCTTGTTGACGGTGTATGCATGGGGATATACTAGTAGTGAAGACATGAGGCTGGGTCTCTGTCATATTTTTAGTGGGTGCTGAGAGTTTGTGTTGGAGCAGACAGCCGTCTTTTAAAGTTTCTTTTATTTTAGAGGCTTTAATAGTGGGTTTGAGTTGTGTCAAATGTGTTTGCTATGGTAATTTGATGCATGCTCCATAGATTAGGCCTTATATTGTGAAATACGATTACCTCTGTGATGTTCAGTAGATCTTTATGTGGTGTTTTGGGTTTTGCATATACTTTGAGCCTAAAAATACATTGCATGCCTGAAATATTACATGTATCCAGCATTATGTCAAGAGTGTTGTTAGTTTGTAGCTTCTTCATCCATACATTTCGCTTCCTGTTTATTTTTTAAACTCTAATGATGTTAGTGGCGTACGGGAATTAGACTACTTGTTCCTATTTTGATGTTCAATATGTTTCACTTTGAATATACATGTATCAGGTTTATGAAATTCTTATAAAAATCTATTTTACTATTGCTCATTATCATTACATATTCATCATTTCACACGCTAAGATATTTTTGAACGAGTCATTGGCAGCATTCTTATTGTCTAAAGAAAAGAAAAAAACAATCTAATTTACTTATTTATTTTTTTTTAGTTCTCAAAATAGAAACATTTATTCCAGGGAAGAAATTTTGTCTCCAGTTTTCTGTACAGTAGGCCCTATATTTCTATTTCCTGTCTTTATGCTTTGCAGTGTAAATTTCATGAAAATTCCAAATTCTTTGCTTATAGTGAGGAAAAGGTGATGTTAAAAAAGAACACAAATTCAAAATTAAAAGACAACAATAATATGGGGATTCCCCCATCTGGTCAATATTGTCTTAAAAGGTTTATAAGAAAACATATTATGAAAATTGTTTTACCTTTTACCTCATTATAATTGTTCTTTATCAATCGAATTTCACTGTACTGTGAATCATTCACACACTGCATTTATTTCGTTTCAGCTGGAAGCCCATAGTAGACTACATCGATGCTCAGTTTGACGCATATCTTCATGAGGAGCTGAAGATCAAACGCATGTTGCACACCTACCACGATACGCGTGTTCATGCCTGTCTTTACTTCATTGCACCCACCGGCCATTCGTGAGTGGTATATTTCTACTTTCATTTTTAACATTGTGGCAAAGAAAAAAATTTCTGTGAATTTAATAGGTCACTGATAGAAGAGTGTTGGATGAGTTTTTTTCTTTCTTCTCGTTCATCTTCAAGTGAACATCCCAGTCTCTAGTGTGAATGCTTCATGGCTTCCATAGAGTTTTGTTGTTGTTTTAATTAGTTTTGTTTTCTAATTTTTAAGGGGGGGGGGGGCGGGTTAGTGTATTATTTTTCTCAAATCAATTTAGTAAAGAAAGAAAGGAAAAGGCATTCTGTTGTTTGAAAATCAATTATTGAATAAGCTTTTAGTTTAAAGTAATTGCTGTCCTAACCTTTAAAATCCTCTCTTTGAGCATTCGTAGCCATGACATCAATGAAGGTGCATTTCCAACTTGATGTGGCTGTTTTATGAGAACTGTTTCTGTTTTGTCTCGGAAAGGGGGGGGGGTGTCTGAAGAAAAGACTATCTATTGTGTGAAAAAATATTGAATCAGTTTTCCGTTTTAATAAATTGCTGTCTTGACCTTTAACATTTACACTTTGAATACCGATAGATGACATCAATGAAGTTGGAGGTGCATCCCGAACCTGTCATGATTGTTTTATGAGAGCTGTTTCTGCTTATTTTGTGTGTTTATCTTTGATATTCCATAGACATTTTATAGCAAAAAAAATTTTGTTGTTGTCAATATTTATATTAAACAAAAAATTCAAAACTGCCCTTTTTTGTATGTTTCCAGGTTCTAAAAAACGGTCTCTTTAGAGTTTATATTCTCTTTGCAAGCCTCTTCTCTTCTTAGTCGAAGCTGTCCATTTTTTCTCCTTCGCGTTCGAGTTGTTTATAAAGGTTATCGTTTGCTCTTTTGCCATCTTCCTTGCTACCCTAATAAACTCTAGCAGTGGGTGGGTGCTTGCTGTTCTGGTGTGGTTTGCTTCTTCTTTCATGTCAAACATCGTCCTTTCCTCCTTCTTTTTTGTATTGGTTACTCTCCTGTAACTGTAACGCCTCTAAGCTTCCTCACTTATATGACTTTATTGTGTTGCAAGTGCCATAAAACTCTCACTAAAACTAAAACAAAAACTCTAGCAATAACTGTTTGACAATTTCCTCAGCTTGAAGGCCTTGGATCTGGTCACTATGAAGAAACTGGACACCAAAGTGAACATCATCCCGGTCATTGCTAAAGCAGACACAATCACCAAGACAGAGCTCACTAAATTCAAGACCAAGGTAGGCCTATATGAAAGGCAAGCTTAGATGTTGTCTCTTGGATTCCCAGCTTTTTTAGTCTCTCAACCACCCTGGCTTGGCCGTTTCGGGATACTTAAAAAAATCAAGTTACATATTATCTCTCTCGCACATGCATATTAAAATTTGTGCATACTCTTTCTTTTATTGACACACATCTACTCTCCAATGCATGTTTACACACGTGCGTCCGTGTGTGTGTGTGTGTGTATTTCTCTGTGTGTGTGTGTGTGTGTACATGGTGAAACACCAAACCAATGTGCCAGGATCTTGACAATAAAGATTTATCTTGTCTCATCTCATCTCATCATATCTTATCTCATCCATCTCATCTCTTATCTCGTTTTATCCTATCTTATCTTATCTTATCCACATACTCAGGAACATAGCTGTTTAATTTTGAAATAATTCAAAATAAGGAATGCTTTCTGATCATATTTTGTTGAGGTCAGTGATCATAAACTGAAGTTCACGAATTGAAATGTCCACAGCTGATGTCTGAACTTGTATCAAATGGAGTCCATATCTACCAGTTTCCTACTGATGATGAAACAGTGGCAGACACAAATTCTTCAATGAACGTAAGTTCTACGGGAAATATTCAATACTGTGTTTGGTGTCATATACAGAGAGAGCTTTGTCACTTCCATTGTGCTGTATTATTTTTTTTTCTGTGGAAATCTACTATGATGACAAATCTGGTTCCGATGCTAACGTCGTGTTATATTTAGTAAAGAGAGAAAAAAAAAGAACTGCAATGGGGGAGAGAAGAGAACTGAAAATATTGTTTATAGTCTCATTTCTCCTCTTGAAATTCTTACCAGTAATACCTCCCTAAAGTGAGAACTAGATACCAGACATGTTGAAGCCAGATCAACCTACTGTAAAAACCTAGTGCCAAAAAAGTGCAGACTATTATGACCTAGGTCCATGCTGCACTCTTCTCCGTTTGATTGGAAATTCTCTTATTCTGATTTTTGAAAACTATTTGTTCTTACTGTTGACACCTATGATAATACAGTTTGTACCAGTATATTCAGGTTTTTCTGTATCTCTTGATTTAGATAGCTATTTGCCGATGGAAAGTATTTCATTTCAGGTTAAAATAAAGTTCAAATAAAAATTATAAATTATCGTTATCGATTGCCACAATGAGCAAGTAAAGGAACTTTATTATTCATTGTGTTTCTTCCTTCAGCAACATCTACCTTTTGCTGTGGTCGGTAGCAATGATGAGGTCAAGATTGGGAACAAAATGGTGAAGGCCAGACAGTACCCATGGGGAACAGTGCAAGGTGAGGGTCACAGATACAGACTTTTTCTACTCCTCCATCTTCTTTTTCTTCTTTTACATTCCCTCAATAGATGTCAGGAGTTGGCAACTGTAGGTTTTAACTGCTCCTAGTGCTAATGATTTGTATTTATCAGGCGCAGTTACTAAGTAAGTGTATTGGTTTAATACTATATGGTTATTCTAGAGGTGGGACCTCCGAATTTAACATCCGTCTCCGACAGGACCAAGCCACTTGGGTTGAGGGCGCTGAAAACTCCACAGAATGACTTGAGTTCAAGAAAGCCCAGCTGTGATTTGAACCAGGCAGGGCCATCTGCTCCGTAGTCCAGCATGTTACCAACTGAGCTAATGAAGTGCCTCTATCTGGTTTATTTTCTACTAGACCAGGGTTCTTAAACTTACAGCCTACAGGGCAATTTAGGCTTACAGGATGATGTTTTATGGCCCTTACTTGACATATAACTTTAGTATTAGTGTGGCCCAAGCTTGGTTAGTTTTTGACAAAATTGTCCCCCCCCCCAGCTTCCATAAGCTTTCCAGGATAATCAAGTGCCATAATGTGTGCTTTGTTGGTAGCACATATCTTCTGTGAAATTTTTTTTTTCCACCATTGACTTTGAAAAGTTGAAATACAGGTCCATAGCTACCAATCAGTACATAAAATAAAAAGATTAAATTCGTTTCAAGGGGAGTACTAAAGTCTTTTTTTTTCATATCGGTAAACACATACTCTCTGTTTTCTAGTATTACCCTTCACGGACTTTGCCGACACTAGAAAAATAATAAATTTGCTGGACTGCATTTGGGAATAATAATGAGAATGAAGCAGACAGATTAATTGTACCAATGTTCTTCACTGAATGTGTCTGTTTGAAATGGATATCGATTTTGATCAGAGCTGCAAGCACCCATGAGTGAGAAGAACTCTGAAAGTAAAATGTTTACACTGGCGCACGGAGGTGTATATTTAGGTGTGATGAACTTACTTTACCTTTTTAAAAAATCTTTTCGCAGTTGAAAACGAAAACCACTGTGACTTTGTCAAGTTGAGAGAAATGTTGATCCGTACAAACATGGAGGACTTGAGGGAGGTCACCCATTCAAAACACTTTGAGCTGTACCGCCATCACAAGCTAGAGGAGATGGGATTCTCAGACTCAGAGTCCAGAAGGTTCGCAGTATATTGATTTTTGTTGGTGACTCTTGGAACTATTCAAAGAATAACATTGCTTTGATTTGAAATTTTGTTGGTGGGGTGGGTAGTTTTTGTGCATTGATACAGATTTGTTTGTTTGTTATGAGAGATTTAAGAAATTTATTAATGCTTTTGCTGTCAATTGTAGTTTCAACGATTTAAGTCTCTAATCCTCGAGCATTTTTTGGCACAGAAATCCCAAGCCTTTATTTGAGGAGTCATTTCTAGACTTTGCCTTCATGTTTAACCTGGTTCCTTCCATTTTTTTTCTATTTATTTCACAACGTATCGATGTGTTTAATTTTTTTAAAAAGTTATGAAAGTTACTAGCTCAAACTTTTATTTTAAGTGAAGTTAAAACTTGGATTCATGAAAAAATAAGCATTTTCAACAAAGTGATAAGGAATGCTATTAGTTACATAGTTTTAACAAAAATTTGTTATACATCTGCATCTTTTCTGGGTTTTTTTTACTCTGCTGAGATTCATTAACTGGAGTTTTCCTTTTTTTTCTTCCCACTCCAGCCTTTCAGAGACATATGAACAGAAACGTCAGGAGCATATCACAACCCTGCAGAAGAAGGAGGATGAGATGAGACAGATGTTTGTCATCAGGGTGAAAGAAAAGGAGGCTGAGCTCAAGGAAGCAGAGAAAGAGGTAATAAAGATTGCTTGTGTTTCTGAACAGTGGTCAGTGGTTGATAGGTATTTTCTTCTGGACTCCGCCATGTACTGTCAAACCTGCTGTAGTGTAATTGGATGGATGGCGGATGTTCTGGTCTGGTTTGCTCGTTTTTTCCTATCAAACTTCTTTCATCTGTATCTCTCTTCCTTTTTGGTTCATGTTACTTTTGTAATACCTCTAATCTTCGGCAAATGTATGACCTTATTGTGTTGCAAGTGCCGTAAAACTCTTACTAAAACTAAAACCTGCTGTAATGGCCACTTGTCCAAGACAATCACCTGTGCAAATGACCACTTCCCACCTTTTCCTTTTCATTTTTTTCTTTATTTTAATGAAGCTGTCCTAGATGTCTTGCCAGACAACCAATGTTTCCCTTGACTTTGGGTGTCCATTTTGGACAGTTTGGACTCTACCTTGTTTTAGTATCTCTGTTCTCATCTTGTTCTTGCGAAAGGTGGTTGGCGGGTGCTCTCGTGTGGTTTGCTCCTTTTTTCATATCAAGCATCTATCATCCTTATCTCCTCTCCTTTTTTGTGAGTTTGTTTTCTCTCTTGTTACACCTCAAATCTTCGGCACTTATATGTCCTCATTGCATTGCAAGTGCTGTAACTCTTGTATTAAAATAACTAAAATAATCATAAGCCAACATGAACACTCTTATGTCTATTTTATCTCGAAACCACACTTAAAGGAAATAATGCAATACTGTTGCTTTTTTATGATTTTTCTTCACCCTAATCTCTCCTTTTTGTGTTTATTACTCTCTTGTAACGCCTCAAATCTTTGGCACCTGCAAGTGCTGTAAAACTGTTACTTAAACAACTCAAATGTGCTGAACTAAATTATATTCTCAATACTTTCCCCAGCTCCACAATAGGTTTGATGCGCTGAAGAAGCAGCACACAGAGGAGAAACGCAAGCTGGAAGAGAGCCGCAAGCGTCTGGAGGACGAGATGAACCTGTTCAGCCAGACAAAAGCCCAAGTACAAGCTCACACCTCCACCATGGGCAAGAAGAAGAAATAATTGTTCTAGTCCTGCTGTAGTTAGGGGGAAATGATAATGATATTTTAGATTGTTCAATTTGTCGTTCAAGTGTGAAGATTGCATTGGAGCTAAAGGAGCTGCAACTAAGTTCTTGCCTTACTTTTGTTTCGGTCTGTGCGGTAGTGCAATTTTCTGTGTCATTGCGAGCTAAAGCTGAAAGTACTCGTATCTCGTGTAGTAAGACTATGCAAGAAAAGGGGGAAACTTTTCAGTTATTGTGCTTATTTTTTGCTCCCTGTATTGCTCTGTGAAAATCCTGTGTTCAATTTCAGTTTTAACAAATGTTTTCAGTTCGCCTGATTTTAGTTTTAAGTCTAGTTGTAGTAAGTTTGTAAAGATAATTGATCTAAGGATACTCAATGAACCTTGCATTTAATAGGGATTATAGCTTTGTACTGTACATTGTATACTATTTCATTTGTGATTTGAAAGTAACACACCAGTGTAAAAACCTCTTAAATTTGTATTGAAAAGATGCGAATGAATCTAGCTTTTTGGCTTCCAGAGATCAGGCTGATAGCTATTTTGTATGTGTTGCAATTAATTGCTATAAAATAGTATTGGAATGTGAAACTAACAGCCTTCATTCTATTTCATAATGGGTTGACAATCATTTACAACATAATCTCATAACTTTTTAACCTGAAAAACTAGAGGCTGTTTCTATGTGTGTTAAAGCGTAGAAGTTTCTCTCAGAATGTTTTATGTTTTTTCCACTTTCCAAAACAATGCTGCTTAGGGAGTGTCATTTAAAACAGTAAGGGGAGGGGGTGGGTGGGTTGGTTTTGTTTTTCTGTATGAAAGAAGTATCGCGCTTCCTCCTTGGAAATGTCAATGTTTGACAGAATTTTTTTCTTACTGTAGAGTGTGAAGGAATGCTTTTAGTTTGGTACATCAATTGCATTCATTTTCATTAATTTATTTTTCAACTAGTATTTTAAGATTCTTTCATCAACTGTGTAGTGTACATGAAAATGAAAAAAAATTGAATTTTTTATTATGTTTCCAGAGATTTGAAGTTTGATAAATACATGAATTAGACTAAGAAAGAATTAATTTTTTTCAATGCAGTTGCGATTTGTCAGTAATTATCAGTCATCTTTTTTCATTTTATATTGTCACTTTCTAGTCTATACCAAAAAAACAACTATTGAATGAAAGAAGCAGTCACTCAAAGAGTTCTATCATTTTGATGAAAAGACTGTCCAGAAATGTCTATAGTTTTCTGTTGCATGATGTTAGTAGTGTATTTATATCCACTTTGTTCTAATGTAGTTGGTATCTACGCTATCTTCTGTTTACGTTGTTTTCAACTGTCTTCGTGGCTTATCTATATCTGTTACTACAACATGTTGTTCCTATCTTATAAGTTATTGTTATTGCTGCTTGGTATTTTTGTTTGTGCTAAGTAAGCTGTTCAGTTCACACACCCGTCTTGTAGTATTATATTTAATTTATTATCCTGTCATTTATAGTACTTTTCTTATAACAGATGGTGTTAATTTGGCCTCAAAACTTTCACAGCCACATAGTATATTAAGTTTTAGGCAACATCGATGGTTCCGGCCTGAATTCCCTCCATAGTGTCAAGTTTCTTGCATGTTTTGTGATCTTGTCAACTTAGCATCTGTGCTCCATCTTGTTGAATATATTGATTCAAAATTGACAGCCAGTATGTTAAGTTTTAAAGTCTTAGCTGCTTGATTTTCAAAACTTTTTTGTTGTAGTGCTATGATAAACAAAGATTTAAATGAGCTTTTTTTAAAAACGTTTTGTCAGGTATAATGACCGATTCAGTTCATAGAACTAAAAAATATGATCACTACTCTCCTCTGGTTTACTGTTATTGCCTTTGGGGGCCAAGTCGTAATCTCCTATAATTGTAACAGTCGTTTATATCCAGCATGTGGTTTGAAGGACGCACTTTGGGACCAACTCAGTTGTCATGATTGTGTTATTTCGTTAGTAGTATAGGCTCAGCTTCGCCGGACTGGCCATGAAGTAAGAATGCCTGCTTTCAAAATTTGAAAGCTTTGTTTTATTCTGACCTGTCCTGAGGGAAGTGTAGTTAAACTATTGTCACAAAGACACCCTGAAAATTTCTCCAAAGGACTACAACATAAATGCCTTGATGTGGGAAAGCCTAGCTCCTGACAGACCAAGTTGGAGAGCAGCAAAAGGTAGCAGACCACATGATGCTTTACAAATTTTAAGTGCTGAAGCCAAGAGAGAAGCCTGCATGGTAAGCTGCACACGTCCAGAAGTGGAAATGAAGCTTTTGATTTTGAATGCTCAAAATGTGGCAGACTGTTCTCTGCCAGATTTGGTCTTATGGGCCAAGCCAGATACCACAAGTCATCTTAATAATCATTATTTCTTCTATTTTGCAAAGAAACATTCTCCTCTGCAGATGTATTTGTCATTGTCAGACATTGATGGGCAAACTGTAATTATTATTAGTATGGTTTAATCAGATCTTGTAAGAAACAGTACTCTATATGTTGGAGGTTTGACACCAGGTCAGACTCACTGTAGTTTGTTTTTGTGTGAGTTTACTACCTTGTTAGAATCATATGGTTATTTCAAAGGCTAATGTTAGTAGTTACAACGACAATGGTAGATGAAATATGAAACATGTAGTGAATCTTTTTTTTTTTTTTGGGCTGCAGATCTGCGTATTATTACTCGTATTGAACTCCCAGTGAATAAAATATCTTCCATACTGTATTTCATTTTGAAAAAAAAAATGTTTGAGAATATGGTGACATCACTGTATGCCTGTCATTTATGGTGTTTTCGTTTTTAACAAAATTTGGTTAAGAGAAATGGCTTATTGGGGCTTTGTCTCTACAGCAAGGGAAAACACTTGTATTGCTTTTGATCTGGTTTGTGAATTGACAAGGCAGCAATACATTGCAAGTCATGCCATCATCATATCTGAGTGTTCGTTTTTCCGTAAATAGATAGTGTGTTCCAATTTTTGGTCCATTTACATTTCTGTCTTTATCTTTCTCTTGTCTGTGTTCATCTTTGAATCCATGTTTGTAATGTCTACATTGCCTCAATTACTGATATCCATACTGTACTACCAATTGTTTTGTACCACCATTACTTTTATTTGAATTAATGCATGCAATAAATTCATGTAATACAAAACAGAAAAGCCATTCTAGTTTTCTTTTTTTTGCTTGGTTTTGTTTGAGTTTGTTTTGTTTTTTTACTCAACTCAATAATTACTTTCCATCTTAAAAAATATGAGGTACCCATGTCCTTACCTGGGTTAAACAGCTTTAAAACAATGTCTTCAATGATGTTGCATGTACGGTACTCAATTACTGTTACCTGAGGATGTTAAGCTCTGGTTACAAGCAGTGGTAAATTGTATCAGATTTGGTGTGTACGAGAAATGTCGATTTTATCGAATTGCTTAGTCATTATTCTGTTTACATTTTTCCAATTTATGATGGGTGCTCTCTTGTGGTTTACTCCTTACCTATCTAACATCTATCGCTTGTAACACCTCTTATCTTCAGCTTTTACATGACCTGATTGTTTTACAGCTACTCTTACTAGATCTAGAATACTAGAATTAAAAACTTCAAGTTATCGTCCAATTCTCTTTTGATCGGGGAGATTCCTCCTCCTTGTAGTGTTATTGACTCTTTGTGATTACAGCGATTTGCTTGGACTTAAGTAAGTGTATAGGTTTAACACTGGTATCCAACACTATCATTTGATTATTTAAGAGGTGGAACCTGGGCTGAGCACTGTGACAACTGCACAAAACAACCGCAGCCCAAGAACACACAGTCTGGGATTTGAACCAGGGCCATTCACTTCGTAGTCCATCATGATATCAACTGAGCTTTCTTTGAACCCGCTTGCACTCTGTGTGCTGATAATTAACAAAGGAAAGAAGGGAAAAGAAAAAAGACTGGGTGGTTGCGGGGGCTCTGGTGTGGTTTGCTTCTTCTTTCCTATCAAACATCTATCGTCTTTATCTCCCCTCCTTTTTTTGTGTGTTTGTTACTCTCTTGTAACACCTCTAATCTACGGCACTTATATGACCTTATTGTGTTGCAAGTGCCGTAAAACACTTACTAAAACTAAAAAGAAAAGAAAGAAAAAGAGGCTTATTTGAATAATGACTGGCTTTTAAAGTGAAATATAGTCACTCACATTGTTCACTGCTGTTATGAGATTTTTGGGGGTTATTATGACGTCTTCAGCAACGATAATAAATTTGTATCAGATTCGTCCTACACGAGAACTGTCCTTTTTATTGAAATTATTTAATGTCTGTTAATAATATGTTCCAATCTCTCATCCAGTTCTCTTACGGGGGCTCTCGTGGCCTAGAGGTTAAGGTGTTGGCCTCTCATTCAAAGGTCCCGGGTTCGAATCCGGGTAGCGACCGAAAAATTTACTTCTCTAAAATTGTCTCCTTTCACCTCCTTTCCTGCTCTCTAGCAATGTTCTGTTGTCTGCTTTCATTTCCACTTTCTGCCCCCTCCCTCTCACCTCCTTTGACCCCTCCTGTGGGCTCCTGACTCTTTCTGCAGCCTTTCTACTGCTTCTCCTTGGCTCCTCCTTACTGCTGTCTTTCTGCCACACCCCTGATCTTCTGGTAGGAAAGATCTACACCTAGCCTTCTCGGACAAGGGCGAAAAATCTCGGAGGGCCCGTGTGCAAGTTGCGCACGTTAAAGACCCCTTGGTGGTCTAAAATCGATAAGAGTAGGCTTCGGCCGCCACTCGGGCAAAATTCAAAATTTCCTACCAACTGAAAATATTAGGAGTGTCCCGCGCGCTCATATGACCTATGCAGTTGCGAGCGCCGTAAAACACTTTACAAAAGCAAAAAAAAAAGTTCTCTTACGATTGGTGAGAGTCATTCTCCTTGCAATAGAGAGCTGCCCTTGTCTCTTTGCACCTGCAGGTTGTTGGTGGGTGTTCTGGTGTGGTTCGCTCCTTCTTTCCTATCAAACATCTATCTTCCAAACCTCTCCTCCTTTATTGTGTTTGTTACTTTCTTGTAACACTTCTAATCTTTGGCACTTATATTATTATCTAATTGTGTTGCAAGTGCTGTAAAACTAAAATCTTTGCACCGACATCCATTTGCTTGTACTCTGTGCGCTGTTATTTTTAACTAAAGAAAAGAAAAGAGGCTTATTGGGACGAAAGACTGGCTTTTAAAGCGGAACATGAACGTAATATTTGTACTAGGATATATAGGCCTACCTTCATCTGATCCCGACCGATAGCTTTTCCCCCGTTCTTTCGTGTACGTTGTTCTTAGATTATTTTTGTCTTCCTTTTATATAATATGTTTAGTTGCATTTTATTGATTAAACTGTTTGTGTGGGTAGATGGCGGATGCTCTGGTGTGGTTTGCTCCTTATTATTTTCTATCAATCATCTGACATCTTTCATTCTTATCTTCCCTTCTTTTTTTGTGTTTGTTACTCTCTTGTAACACCTAACTTCGGTAGCTGGTGGTAGAAGGTCGTGACTGTTAGGTCCTACTTCTTCACTTTCCATCTGTTGTTTCTGTCTGTCTGTGTTACTTTTCCCAACACTAAATGGCCATTATTGTGTCGTTATGCCTCTCTTTCATATAAGGGCCCCACGATTACATTGTGTTACAAGAGAGTAATAATCATATAAAAGAAGGGGGAAAGATAAGGACGCTTTTATTTGACAGGAAAGAAAGAGCAAACCACACCAGGGCACCCACCAAACCACCCGTGTTTGCTTTGTTTGAGAAAGATAATTTTGTAGCAACATGACTTACTTAACCTACCTTAAAGTAAGTTAAATAATATATAGATGCCTGCGAAGTTCTCAGCTTTTGGCAACGAAGGCATCAATTATAATATATTGCCAAGTTTAGCCAGAATCCTTTTTTCCACAAATATCAGCATGAACGCATCAGAACGTTTTTGCATCATTGTACCTCGGAGACGACTTTTATTTCTATTTAAAGCAGAAAAAGACAATTCACATGCAACGTTTTATCAATACAGATTTGTGTGACGTCACGCTACCTTGCCCGGAAGATAGTATCATGTCTCAGGAAATATTCCCACATTTTTATACCTTTTGTAAACTATAACCCCTCGTGCTCATGATTTATTGATTGTAATTAACAGTTTTTGGAGACGCACTATGTTCGATCCTGCGAACCAGGGTCAGCCTGGGCTGAAAGGGATACATCACCTTAACAAAGACTCTTTATTAAGCCATGAATAGATGAGGCTATGGAATTGATTGATTTTCCTCCTCTTTTGTGATCAATAATCAGGACACTGATCTTTCGAATAACTTTTATCACGAGACTTCATTTTGTAGGCCTATACACACATTTATTTATCGATTTCTCTTGTTACGGTTTCTGTAGCACGGATGTTCTTTTTACAAGACGTGGGTGCTACCAATGAGGTTATGGTAGGCCTATATATAGTTGTTCTAAGTTCCTTGGGGGATAGGTGCTACCCCAAGCTCAACCCCCAACCTGCAGGACCGGGTGGTTCATGCCTGGAGCCACACCTTGGAGTCTTATACGGGGTGCCCATTACGAGTGGGATCGGCTGATCGGGCTGATCGCACGACTTGGTCGCCTCAAAAACGAACCTATTTGTTTTCGGTTTGAGGCGACCGAGGCTGGCGATCGACCCGATCCAGCCGTAGTGGGCACCCCGTACTAAATCGTCCCGTTGGCCGACGACACGCGTACGCGGACCAAACGTTAGCCTTATTATTGAGATTCTTCTCACCGCCGAGGTCTGTACAACGAACGAAACAGAAAAGAAGGCCTAAAATACTTGGAGGGAATTGGATTCCGACCATGGCGTTCTTTACTTAGTAGAGTACGCTATGATTCCGACCTAAACGAGATGGGATACACTTGGACAGAGGTGAAGACAAGAGCCCAGGACAGAAATAGAATGTATCATGGAGAGCTCTTGACACCAGCTTTTGCCGGTGTCTGTAGTGTAGCGGTTACATGCTACACCGTCACTCACAGGAAACCCGAGTTAGATTCCTATGTTGGGAGAATTTCCAAGTACAATTGATGTATACAGTATACCCCCCCACCCCCCCCACAAAAACAACAACAACAACAAAACAAACAACTTCACAATATTTTGTTGTACATGTTTCCCTCCACACTGAAGCTTTGCGTTTCAAATCTGACACACTATTTTTTGGCAGCCAACAAGAATTTGTTGGATTTTCATTTCAGATGACTCTATAGAACAGTTTACCTCTAGATAGCGCATAATAAAACAACCAATTTTTAGCCTTGTCCTCATTTGTGTAACGTGATGCTCTACAACTAAAAGTCGCAACCATCACTCCATAAATCAAGCGACAGCAGTCTAACAAGCCAACAGACGTTTGCAGATATTGTTTTTCTCAAGTTTTCTTTACCTGTTGAGAAATGGTTAAGTTTATAGTAATGGGCAGAACGTTTTTTTAATTATTTTTTTTATTGAACATTACCTCGCTTCCAATTCACCATTCCTGACATTTCATAAGTTTCACACAAGGAACGGAAAGAAAACTAAAGTGCCCCTAAGACCTTATATTTGATGTCATATTCCGTCAGTTTGAATCTATTGAGAATCAGAACTAAAAAATCCTCCACAAAAAGACGACTTTAAGTCGAACATGCACCATTTATACCCCTTTTAACGTCACTAGGAATTAAATTGTCGGGTCCCATGAGGATGGAGATTGGAGATGTCTTTCCGTAAACGATGTCAGCAGCAAGGACTTTAATACCTACACATCAACGGCCCGCATTCTAAAGGCAGATCGTCACCTATGACGACATTGTCAGTAGGGGCCTACAATTTTCATGTTCGCGAGGCGACGTGGATAAGAAGATTGCAAAGCATTCGTGTTTCCTCGATTGTCTTGAAAAATGTTAACATTTCCTCGATGACATTAATTTGGATCAGTGGCAAAGCTTATCTTCACTTTTTAGGAAATGTTAACTCCAAAAATGCTCAAATGCTGTCTCATGGGCACCCCACCAACCCCTTTATTACATCTAGAAGATATTTCGTAATGAAAAGTGTTCTGTGTGTAAGGTTTTAACCTTTATTGACCACCACTGAACATTACAAACGACACGGTTAAAACTGTACGTTTTGAATCCACAGGAGGGCACGTAGAGCACGTGCCTCTAAAAATTCTAGTATAAAAATATAATCTTTTATACTGGTTCTAGGAGTTCCAGAATAAAGCTTTCTCTGGTTCTAGGAGTTCCAGAATAAAGCTTTCTTAATAAATAAAATAAATGAAGTACATTGTTTACATGTTACAGGGATGGAAAGTAAAATATTATAGATATCTAAAGAAAAGGAAGGAAAAAAAACTGATCGATTGTTTATTTATGATTTTATGACTATCCTCACAAAATATTTTGAATTGGTGGGGTGGTGATTTATTTTATAGGTCCTGTGTCGAATCTTTACGACAAAAAGCAAGCCATTCTAGTCTATTATATTATTACCAGTATTAATGGTAGCCTAGTTAATAATTATACTAGGCACCCCCGCCTGTTTTCCACTGTCAATCACAAGGAAGGCCTATTTCGTTATATTCGGTACTTTCGGAAACTGTTGGGAAAAACGACTTTATCGGTTTTGAACTGCTAAACTGTCAAACTGTCATTGACTGAGTTCTTTCAAGACTTCAACTTCAAGATTTAGCCAGCATCAGGAGGATCACTGAGGCAAACCAACAGCAGCAAGAGACTTTGTTATTTTCAAACTTTGTATCAGATTGTTTCTCTTAATTTTTCGGTTTCACACACACAGTAGCGATACAATGAAAACCTTTGTTGTATAAGGTAATTAAGGTCCTTGTAAGATATGTTATATCCAAATTAGGGAACAACTGCCAACAACAAAGGCAAACAAATTCATAATTTACGCAATGATTCGAATGAGATCACCCCCTTGTCAGTGGCATGTCAGTGTCAGTGATTTAGTATGATAACCTTACTACATCTAGATCTAGATCTAGATCTAGATCTACGTGAGAATCAAATTCTTGACAACTCTTGAGGGCAGCCTTATTTAACAAGATTGTTTGAGATATCCAGTTTTAGTTTTGGCCCCAGCGGCCCCTCTACTAGGCAACCTCTATTCTCACCCGGGGTGAGAATAGTGCAGGCTAGTCTTTTGGCTATTCTCACCCGGTGCGCGTTCACCGTTATAGCCTAGATCTAGGCCAACAAATTTTGCGTTCACCCTAAACCACAGAATTCTACACTGTGATAACAGAAACATTGTAGAATTCTGTGCCGTGAACAAACGTTCCATTACAACTGTCTACTAAAAGCGTACAATTTTGTCTGTGGGCAGTGGAGAGAGAGAGAGAAAGAGAGAGAGAGAGGAGTAGGGCGAGAACTTTCGGTCAAAACAAAATGGCGACCCGCGTAGTTCGGCTCGATTCGAAAAGTTAAATGGCCGTAGCATCTTTTGTAGACAACCAAATTAATTTACTTTTCTGTTTTAACATCATTTTTAAACTTTGTTTTGGTCAATTTGATCGTCCACACCGATAGACAGTATTCAGAAAGAGACAGAGAGAGAGAGAGGGGAGGAGTAGATCTTGCGAGAACTTCCGGGCAAAACAAAATGGCGACCCGCGTAGTTCGGCTCGATTCGAACAGTGAAATAGCCATAGCATCTTTGAAGACGATCAAATTAGCTTACTTTTGTGCTAGATCTATAACGTAATTTTTTCTTGGCTTTTATCAATTTGATCATCCACACCGATAGACAGTATTCCAAAATGAGGAAAAGCAGGTCTTGTTTCGCACCGGGTGAGAATAGCCTACGCTGGCAAGTCTCACCTGGGGTGAGAGGTAGATCGTTTTTTTCTATTCTCACCCCGGATGAGAATAGCCACTTCCCCTCTACTAAACTACTTTAAAACTACCACCACTCACCACCCACCCCCTATCACTTGAAACTTGGTCTACCATGGGAAGGACTTTCGCAAGGGCAAGGAGCGAACACCCTAACAATTTCGATAATTATTATGTGGGGACATGGTCTTCACATGCTACCAGTATAATGGAGACTGATTTTTTTGTAAACTGAAATCCACAGGATTGCGCTATTTTTCTATTTTTTCTAGGGAGTGTCTACGTACACGGTAACCGGGCATCTAGCCTCAGCGTCTACGTACACGGTAACCAGGCAGTTCAGAACACCACGTTCAGTTTTTGTTATCCGGTGTTGCCTTCAACCCCAGCCTTCCCCCGACTGTACCTTTTAAAAAAATCAATAATCCCCCCATTCCGGAGCCCTTCACTTCGCAGCACACATACTGAATGAACTTTAGTGACCCCAACCGGTACTCACAATGTGATGCTAAAGCACAGGTACACTGACCGGTCAGGATGGCGAGCCCGACAAGACGCTTGTACATGTATGACTTTCTTTTTTTTTTTTTTTTTCGACAAGTGACAGCACAGGACAAATATTGATTTATTTTCATTCCGGTTACCGTGTACGTAGATACTCATACTGAGACTAGGTGCCCGGTTACCGTGTATGTAGACACAGGCTTTTTTCTATTTGAGAAGGGAGTGTATAAGACCCGGTAACCGGGAACAAAGTCACAAAGTATACAGACCCGGTAGGGGAACTCTTTTGTGATTTCGGAAAGTTTCAGCGCCCTCTTGGTAGACCTAAATTTAGGTTCTTCTAGATCTATGGCCTAGGTCTAGTTACACAGACATGTGTTTTTCGGGACTTAACCAGTGTGGGACGACCGGGGGGAGGGGGTGGGGGTATTGTTTTGACATTTGGGCTGTGCGTGCCGTGATACATGTACTAATTGAGGATAAAGGAATAAGAAAAAAGAAATAAATGAACAACCTTGGCGCGATCTTTTTTTCTGAGGGGCCTTGAGTGTATATTATACGATGGAAGTCAACCCCCCCCCTTTTCCCCAGTGCCCCTTATGACTGATTTGCAGTTGATTCCGATTTTTTTCACCAGATCCTGATTTTTTAACTCTAAAATCCTGATTTTTAGATTTCATAGAGTGGCAAGTCTGCCGTGTCTGTATACAAAATGAAAGTCAGGAAATTCTATGTTTGGTCAACCCTTCTATATATGGGTGTGAATGCTGGACAATCACTAAAGACAGTGAAAATAAAATAGAAGCAGCAGAAATGTGGTTCCTTAGGAGACTGCTAAGAGTATCGTGGAAGGAAAAGAAATCAAATGAGGTAGTGCTTGATGAAGCCCACGTGGGACACTCAATTTTAAAAACAATCAGGAAAAGACAAATGCAGTTTTTGGGACACCTGAATAGACATAATGGTCTTGAACATCTAGCTCTCACTGGCAAAATTGAGGGCAAGTGAGGCAGGGGTACACATACTTAGGGAACCTAAACAAATGGGTAACAGGGAAAGATCAGGGAAACGTAGCTTTTTTGAGAGCATCCGAGCAAAGGAATGAATGGAAAACCATGATCGCCGATGTCTGTTCCAGATCTGGCACTGGATGATGATGATACACTTCAATTTGAGAAACCTCTCTAGATAAATCTAGATCTAGATCGGAAACTGCTAGATATTTAAATGGATGAAAATCCAGTGATCCCGAAGATTTCAGCTTAAGTTGACTCCACTGCATACAGCTAGATGATAGGCTTATAGAGTTAATGATGCTCCTTTTTTTTTTGGTAAATGTTTTACAGCGCTCGCAATTGCACCATAAGGTCATATAGAGCGCGCGAGGCACACCAAACATTTTCAGTTGATAGGAAAATTTGAATTGCATTGCACGGGTGATGGCCGAAGCCTACTCTAATCGATTTTGGACCACCAAGGGATCTTTAACGTGCGCTACTTGGACACGGTACCTCTGAGATTTTTCACCCTCATCCGAGAAGGCAAGGTGTAGATATTCTACCATCAGGGGTGTGGCTGAAAGACAGCAGTAAGAAAGTGCCAAGGAGAAGCAGTAGAAAGGCTGCTGAAAGGAGCCCAGAGGAGGGGGCAAAGGAGGTGTGGGGGTCGGGGCAGAAAGTAGAGACGAAAGCAGACAATAGAACATTGTTAGAGAGCAGGAAAGGATGTGAAAGGAGAAAATTTTAGAGAAGAAAATTTTCCGTCGCTATCCGGATTTGAACCCGGGACCTAAATTGAATGAGAGATGAACACCTTAACCTCTATGCCACGAGAGCCCCCCCCATGGTTCTCCTTATTAAAGGAACTGTCAAGTAAGGGAAGTACTCATTATTTATAACATTTTAGCTTGGGTCTTTTAATGAATTTTGTACGATAATGCCTATCTGTCTTTTTCAGGGACTGGTACCTGTGTAACAGAATGTCAAGTGTTGGCTCATTTACACAGTTCTTGTACTGTCCCCTGTGTAGGATCAGCTACAAAAAGTCACGGAAACACATGTACTCTAAGAGGCATCAAGAGATTGTGTTGAATATTTTGAAGAAATTCAGTACTAAGGTAAGTCTAGTTCTCTCCTGACTCTGTTTGATTCCGTGATGGTCAGCCTGTTACAGTTGTGAGAGAGGACTCAAAATGTAGTAAAGTGTGTTCATAAAGTTAGTGTTACAACAGGCTGTTGCTATGCCTGAAAGCAGAAGCAAGATTGTACTCCTAGCATCAATAAAATGGAATTGTAAGATTTAAAACTAGGGCCTATTTTTTTTGGCATGGGTAACATTTTTGGGATACATTTCATTTAACATCTTCAGTTTGATACAACCCTACTCTCCTTTCAAGGAAAAGAAGTGCAGATTTAAGATTTAAAAAAAAATTTGAATACTGTGACTTTACAGAGACACAGTTACTATGTAATCTCACAGGTAGCTTCAGGATGATCTGGAATTGTGTTCTTTTTATTCTGTCTTTCTAGATTCAGAATGCCAAGGCCAGTGTCACCCAACCCAAGATCAGGATGCTGACAGCGGAGGACAGAGAAATCTTCTTCTGGTGCTATTTTTGTCAAAAGGATGTGCTGGTGCATTCGTTCAAGCAAAGCCAGAGGGGTGACTGCGTTATTGAAAGTGGAGGAATCCTAGAACACATCAGTGGGTTAGTATGCTAACAAGTCTGTTCAAATGTTCAGAACTGGTGACTGACTTGTAGACTGCAGTAGTATCTGGCCGCTTTTAAGGACAAGCGGGCTGACCCAGATTTCAGGGGTTTTCAGAAGTCTTGACCTGCACCAAAAATGGGCACTGCCCTACCTGTACGAGAAGTTTGGTTTCATTGGTGTGTATATTTGTTTGGTTATAGAAAAAACTCTCCTTGTCTTTTACAGATAGATTTTATGGGTCCGAAAACTTTATCTTCGATTTCTCAAAACAACATTTATCGGGATAACCCCCTTGTGCTTAAAAGCGACCATTTCATGTTCAACAAAAGGTAAATTAAAAGTAGTGAGCAACAATGTCAATAAATTCACGCCCTGTTTTTTTTGTTGATCGGGAACATATTGACTGTTTAGTGTAAGACTCAGCCATACACCATTATGAAAACTGACATGACGGAGTTTGTCACTGAGCAGTCAGTATAAATTTCTTCAATATTGTGAGGCAGCGTGGTGAAATCAGGCACTCGTCAAAATATTCAAAGTGAAACTGGCATTTTTCCACAGGTTTATGGATTTTTATCGAATTTTCTCGTTTTTTGGCTCAACACCTTTCATGTTCATTAAAGAACACATTTCTGTGTGGAATTAACTGAAAAATGTTGATTAAAGGCCCCAATATTGTAAATTTTCAGTTTTCAGGGACACTCAGGCTATGAAAGTTACCAGACTTTAGCAGCCATTTTCTCGCTAATTTCATCACTGTAACCAGGAGACCCCACCTCCTTCAATCGCAAATATCTTGACTTCTATTCAAGATAAATGGATATTTATTTCATCAAATGCTAGGCAAATGAAAAGGCTTTAAGATGATACCAATAGCTCCATATGCTCAAAAATTGACGAGTGCCTGATTCTACCGCGTTGTGACACTTTCTGCAGACAGCAGTTACAATGATGACAAAGAGTAATCTAAAGACGAGAGATTTTCCAAGCTGATGGAGCTAGTCTTGTCTCTTGGCTAGCTCACAGACACAGCCTTGTCTCTCTCCCTCCTCCCCCCCCTTCCACCCCCCCCCAATCCTGTCACCATAATGTTAATCATGTTTTTTCTGTTCACTTTGTTTTGGCATTTCTGACCATGAACTCTGTTTTGTCTCAAAAATGATTTCGATCATTGGTTTTTTTTTTTTAGATGTCTCCTGCCACCTCCTCTCTTTCTTGGGGTGTCCTAGAATAAATGAACAAGAAATATTTTTTCTAATTTAATGTTGGGACTTATTGTTTTAACAGAAATTTGTTGTGCCCCATCTCTGATGTAGTATGGGCATGGTAATACAAGTATGTGTACTCTTTATTTAGAAATGTACAAAAAAACTTTTCATTGGTTGATGATTCAAATATTTCCATTCATGTTAATGTTTGTGTTCCCATTATATTGGATTGTTTACTTTACATGTATTTTTTCATGTCTTCCTGGTTTAGATCAGACCATGGAGTGTGTGCAGACAGGTTTTTAAAAGAGAATAAAGTGGAGCTTGAAAGAAAGCAAGAATTTGTGATGTCCTCTCAGGGATATATGAAGTAAGCCCTTAGATAGAGCGGGTATTTTTTTTTGTGCCTTGGTTTAAGATAGCCAAACTACTTTTGAAAAAAAAAAGTTCGATGTTGAGTTTCTGATTTTTCTCATAAAGAGACAAAGTTTCAGCCTTGATTGAAATGTACCTCTGAGTTTGAATTTTATTCTGCCTTTGTTTGTTCGTCTCACTAGGTGCCTTTGATGGCATAATTGTAGTGACATCACCACATTTTGTCATATTTTTCAGTATGTGATGTCTGTGTGACGTTGTCAGACTTTAGTTATTAGCTTGTACATAGTTCTGTTTTGAAGGGTATATTTGAAATTAGATACTTCTTTTCCTTCTAATGCAGTTAACAACTACGTCAGAGTATATATAATATATATTTATATTACTTGTATATTTTATTATCTTAAAAAGAAATATTAGATGCTACATTTCTATAGGTCAAAAGTCTTGCTTTACAAGTGGCCGGGAAATATATAGTTGCAAGCAGTAGGTACTCATCATTAACTGTCTCTTTCATCCTGGTCTTGGGTATAGGCCGCCAAAAAAAGCTCTCCAGCTGTCTCTGTTGTGGGTGGCGATCTTCTCTACCTCCAGCCTGGTGTACAGATCTGCCTACAGATCTCATTCCCAGGCGGATTTCAGCCTTTCTTTCTCCCTCATCCATCTTCAGACTTGCCTTGTCACAATGTGAACTGGCTTTGTTAGCATGTGCCCAATCCACCGCCATCTTCTTTTCTTGATATCCCAGTCAGTTGGTTGCCTTAGTGGGACTTGTAAAATTGGAAGTGTTGATTTGATTCTGTCATCCATATATTTTATTCAATCAAATAAGTATAATGATGTTATCGTGCAGGAGTGGTGTGTATAGAAACTATTGTAATATTTCACTTGGTATAGAGTTTGTGCGGGTGGTTTGCGGGTGCTCTTATGTGGTTTGTTTCTTCTTTTCTATCAAACATCTATTGTCCTTATCCCTCCTCCTTCTTTTATTGTGTTTGTTACTGTCTTGTAACACCTCTAATCTTTGGCACTTATATGATCTATTTGTGTTGCAAGTGCCACTAAACACTTACTAAAACTAATACAGTCTGTTAAAATACATTTTACAGGTTTTGGGAAGCTGCCAGCTATGCTTGTGAATCATTTGTCAGTGAGAAGGTCAAGGCTTTACAGCAGGTGAGGAGGACATTTGGTTGTTCTGACTCGAGAATTCTGGTAGTTAACATTGTCTGTGTGGCGTGTTACATATTGGTTCTAACTTATATCATTGAGAGACTGTGGAATTTAAAGAAATTTCAATGGAATATTTTGAGTGGATAAGACTTAATTCTATGACCAGGGTTCGGTTTAACACTTTCCGCCCATGCAACGTACGTCATATTTTTAAGTTCTAAAACCACCAACAATATTTTGACTGACAATATGAGTTACTTCTCGCAATCCATGAATGGAGATGCGGCCGAAAATAGACACGTCAAATTTGTATATCTTAATAACTGATGTCATTTTCTTCAAATTTAACATGTCTTTTTTCATTTCATATAATAAATTGTACAAATCCAATCAATAAATGATAAATTTATCTGTATCCATAGGGTTAAAATCCGTGAATTAACTCATTTTGTCAGCCCATCTCACATTTGGTTAAACCATTTATATACAAAGCTGGTATGATGGACTAGGCACGTGGGCTTAGAGTGAATCTTTTTTTATTTTCTGCAGATTACCGCTGACATTTCTGGACAGAATTTACACAGCCAGTACACTTTGATGTCAGCAACGTTGGACAAGGTTGGTCCGATGGATATCATCCATTCTCAGCGTATCCTATTGCTTCTTGAGTGTTTGGTTGTCAGTTCTAATGATGAGTTGATAATGCTTACTTAACCCTTTGAACCCGAATGGCCGATATTTTGGTTTGGGCCGAAGGTTGCTGTGCCCGAAATTGCCACACTCAATTTTTCACTATTCCAATACTGTCTTGATCCCGACTGTACACTCAAGCCCATCAAAGGGGAACCCAGAATTTCTACAGTCAGGGTCGGGCCCTCAGGGTTCAAAGGATTAATGACTGTCAAGAAAAGTCAGGGATGCGACAGGAGGAACTGTTGTGTTTGTATCTGCCTGTCCCATCTGCTGTGTCCAGGTCACAGGATAGGAATGTTGATAAAGTAGACAGTAACTTATTGGGGTTCTATACTTTCTTAATTTTACCTTCTGCTGGTACCGGTGGGTGTCGTGATAAGACACAATTCGCCTCCTCAGAAATACAAAGTTCCGTCTGCTCAGTTCCTTGTTTTGAAAAATTTGACTTTAAAAATTTTGAGTTTCAAAACGTGTCAAGCTTTTTCAAATACAATTCTTTCAACATCTTGATAACGACGCAGAATAATCTTGCGATTTTGATGGAGTAGATAGAACATATGATTTCTGACCTCATGGTCTTAGTAACTCAAAATGGCCAAAAATGTCAGATAAAACTTTGTAACTAAGGTAGCGAATTGTCCGCCAGGTGCTTGTTGAGTGGCTTGAAGGAGAGTCAGGTGGTGGGTTCTGAGGATGTCCTCTATAGAGTCAATCCAGCGACGTGGTGTTCATACAGTGGTCTCTGCCTAATAGTCTGGTCGTTGGGAGACAGAAAAATGGGTTTCTATCAGAACTAGGTTCTTAGACAAATTTCAAGAGGCACAACTTGGCCCCTACTGCTGGACATACCTGTTATCTCCCACCTGTTTACTCTATGATGAAATGTGATCCAAAGGAAGACCTGTACTTCAAAGTGCTCATGTGGAACAAGGATGATTCCAACTCATCAGGGTACGGGTAACTGGATAGAGTGTACCTTGATTTAAGAAGTACTGGTATCATCAGTTTGATTCTTGTGACAACTGCAAGATGAACCTTTCTTCTAGGCATAGTTTGCGTTCTGTATGTCAGAGAATGTTCCTTGTTTTTGCCACTTGAACCTCCGGAGTATCCAAAATAAATGCACAAAGAGAAAAGTTATCGTTAACAGTTAGCATTAATCTGTGTTTAAATTTGCTTCGTACTGTTTTTACGTGCATTTCTGACTATTTTAGAGTGAGTGGTTTACAAATGTCTTATGGAGGAAGGAAATGTGTTTGAAATCAGAGTCATGCTTGCTTTTAATGAAGTAAAGCAGTGCTTGTCAGCCTTTTTATTGGCAGTTCCCTCTTTTGCCATGTTTAAGAAATTTCAATTTTCATACTGCCTGCCTTATTCCGACAAGAAGGAATTAACACCCAAGAAATGTGTCATGATCTGCTATGGACAGTGATAAAGGTTTTCTGTTTAAAAGTCAATCCTCTGTTGCTTTTTTGGTACCTACTTGTATATTATGAGTATGCAGGAGGATTTTGTCTGCAGTTTGAAAAGGTTTTCAGTGATATAGCAATGGGTCCGAAAAAAGAATTGTCTTTTGAATGTGGTAGGTTATAATTATAAGGCCCGTTCATGCTTCTTTTTTAAGAACCTAATGTCTTATTAAATGTTCTTACTGGAATTTGCCTGCCGATTTGCTGGAAATGGGAGATGCATTTGGCAGAGACTCGGAGCTGCAGTTTGTGATCATGTTTTCCCATGGTCTTACAATTGGTTTATAAAATTTTATTTTGGTCATCTTTTAAATGCACGTTTCATATTGATAATTTAATATACATTTTTTAAGTCTGTTTACTGACGTTTCTAGAGAACACTCAAGACTATTGTTTGTTCTCTGCAAATGAAAGCTCTGTTTAAGTTTTCCTGAAAGTGTAAGACTCTGTCACATAGAACGATGGCCGGCAGTCCACTCAAGGAAGCTTTGTGCAGCCTGGGCCGCAGCAGCAGACCAGAGATGAAGCTACCTGGTTTGATCCTGAGGCTCAAAGAAAGAAAACGGAAAGAGCTTTTGGAGAGGGACTGACAGCCCTTGACAGAACTCAGGTGAGAAGATTTTTGTTTTAGCAGGAAAAATTTTGGTGAAATATATATTATATATATTCTGAATGGCAAGTTTTAAAGATAATTAGAATGTTTGTTAAAAAAAAAATTGGGCAAATGGAACAGTTTGCGTTGCTTGTAACTTTAAAATCATGATCAGCAATTTATTTTGGAAAGTTTAGGACTCAAAGTGTCTAATTCTGATAGAGATTGCGTTAAAAGAATATCTTGAAGGTTTTTTTTTTCTTTCGAAGTGTATCGATGAAATTCAGTGCAAAGAAAATCGTTTCACCTCCCCCACCACCCTGACAACACCTCAAATTTCTGAGATCCAAGTTTCCAGCTTTTTCCAAACTCACACCACACTGCTCCACCCGTTTCCTTTGTTGTAATGTTATGAGCTTGACCAACATTTAGCTGGTAATTATGCAACAAATATATATAGTACAGGCAAAATTGAGCACAAGTTAAAGCTTCTTTGCTGATAGGTGTTAATCCACATCTCCCCCCCAATCACCCTCTAACCCCCTTAAAAAAGAACTGAGTTGTCAATCGTGGAGTAACACCAACTTGTTCCATGCCCCACAGGAAGACGACAGCGTTGGGAATATCTACACCAACGCTCTCCCACCTTGGCTGAGGGCTGACCCTGACGCCGATGGAGCAGCCACAGCCAGCCGGAAAATAGGACCCGACATCGGAGACTGGGACAAGCATAGTCAGTTTTTGGAAACTTTCTTGTGACGTCTTGAGAGTTGTTCTGTTTTTCCTGTCATACTGTCCGCGTGGTCTTATGCACCCCGCATAATTTAGCAAAATTTTGTCATTTTTGGGATAATTTCGGATTATTTTTCTTAATCGTTCTATGTTAAAATTAACAGAATCGCATAATTTCATTTTTGGGCTCAGTTCGCATAATTTCAGAATTTTTTTGGCATAAAACTGCAGGGACAGGTCGTATGTCTTGAAGCTGAAAGTACAAAAAAAAAAAGGAAACTGATTGCCTTCAACCAGTTGCTAACGTCTTTAAAAAAAATTCTTTCAGCACTCTTTTAATGGTATTTGTACTGCTCTATAGCATGTTCTATGCTCTTTACAACTATTACAACTTGTGTGTGTGTGTGTGTATGTTTGTGTGTGTATGTCTGTCTGGGTGTGTCTGTGTGAAAGGTTCAGAAGGACGTGTGTGTTCTTATATTTTGAGCTGGGACAAAATTCTACACAGCTGAAGTAACTCTTATCTCTGTTTGTTTGGGTTTTTTTCAGAAAAGCTAAAGAAAAAATCTCTTCTCCGAGCGGATAGAACTGGTGCCAAATTTGATCGGCAGAAGGAACAGTCTGACAACTGGCTACCCTCCTTTGGCGGAGTCTGGAGGCACAGCGCACGTACACACTCAGTGTAAGATTGGTGGCTGGTGGACGCCTTGGTGTGGTCTGCTCCGTCTGCTTCTTTGCATTGTCACCTTTGTTATCTTAGTCCAGTGCTTGATGAGCTGGGTGGTATTGGTCACTTGTGGGCGATTTGGTAATTTTGATGGGCAATTGCTATCACCCTAGTGGTGAGTGAAGGGTTGGCGGGTGCTCTGATGCGGTTTGCTCCTTCTTTCATATCAAACATCTATCATCCATAACTCTCCTCATTCTATGTTGTGTTTGATACTCTCTTGAAACACCTCTATTCTCCGGCTCTTATATGACCTTGTTGTGTTGCAAGTGCCTAAAACTCAATCTTAAGTTAAAACTTGCCAAGCTGGATAATATCACCCACTAGTGGACCATTAGGTGATTTTGATGGGCAGCAGAGGTGATCACCCGGATGGTAACCTGTGTTATATAAATGCCCTGCTTGAAAATACATGTAAGTGGGCAGTTTGAGAATTTTAGTCGCCTAAATGTGGCAAAAGTGAGTGTTGGTTATAAAAAGATCGACAATTACTATCTGTTTCTGTTTCTACTGGAATGTGATCCCTGTGGAATTGACTTATTCAAAACTATGACAACTCAACAATCCTGTGGATTTTTGCCATGTCTGTTTGAAATATGCTTTTTTGTAAAGGACCAATTCAGCCTTGAAATTAACTTTTGAATGGTATAAGAAATTGTTTCTACTTCCATGGTTCCTGTCATACCAGCTGCTTTTACATGCTATGTATAAAAGATTAGATTTTTTCTTCTTCCTTCTTCCTCGTTCTCGATGACAGCAGCTAGACAGTCAGTCCAATGTCGCGCACAAACTGTGCAGTTTGCTTCAACTCTGAGAGACAACCATGAGCTTTCTCTCAAGGGCAGCCACATTCTGCCACGTCTGTGTTCGAAGGGTGGTGTAGCGCAGGCAGTGCTGAAGGATATGGTTGGCATCCTCTTGGTCGTGTTGACATTCACAGATCGCTGACTCTCCCACTTTTAATTTGGTGTGCATATGGTGTTTAAGTCTGTTGTGGCCACAACGGAGTCTAAAGATTGTGACCTGGTCTGCTCTATTTAGTATGCAGTAGATTAGATAAATCTTTATAGTCTAGATTCTGGCACATTGATTTGGTGTTTCACCAAGTATACACATACATACAGACTCGCAGACCCACATACAAATACACACATGCACACCCATAAACACACTCTCTCTCACACATTCTTTCCTACACACACCAGGGCAGGGCAGGTACTGGTACCGAAACTCACTGTACTACCACTTATAATTATTAATTATAATAATAACAATAATTATAGTGATAATAATAAATGCATATTAATAAATATTATGTCCACGCTCCACAACAGTAATTGCACCAGACCTCAAGTCGGTACTGAGAAAGTTCCGGTACCTGCTTTCTGACTTGTCGTGCTTTCAAGTAGAGGCTAATAGATGAAAAAAAAATTTAACAAAGTTGTCTTTCTGGGAGATATTACAATGGATTCTTCTATTTAAAGGCTGCCATCATGGCATTTTCTATCTTACTAAGCAATGCTGTACTAACCTTGCAATGAGGAATGTTGCGCTTGCTGACAACATGAGTTATTTCTCGGATTTTTACCTTATGGAAACAGATACATCAAATTTACACATGGAGTTTGTTCAATTTATAAGTATGAAAAAATAAAAGACATGTGAATCTTGAAGAAAATGACATCAATTGAAAATCTATCCTAGTGTTAATTTTTGGCTGATTGCTCCATTTGTGGACTGAGAGAAGTAACTTTTTTTGTCAGCACATTTCATAAATGATTTATCCTCTCTGTTTCCCCTCTTCTCTTTGTTTTGTGCAGGAAACATTTTCAGAAGAGACAAGACCTGAAAGACCCCAGCAGACCTTCAGCCTCATCTGGCAGTCTGGTTGTCCGATCTGGCTTGTCAAAGTCGTCGAACAGCACTCCTACGGGAAATCCATGGCTCATTCCGAACTGTTTACCCACTGCCCCCTCTTCCGGCTCACAAACTGAGTCTCGGGTGAATGGAGCCGTACCGTCAAGTTTTGTTTCAGATTCAGGAGGGGATGGTGCACGATCTGTAAATGTGAGACCGTATGTGAGAAAGCAAGGTGGCTGTGTCGGGAGTGGTCGGTCTATGTCGGATTTTCACGCCAGTCCAGCTGAACCAACTGGAAATTTGGCTTCTTCGGAGGAAAGCTTCATGGACTTTGTAGGTGTAAAGCCTTATGTACGAAAGCGTAGATCCCAGAATAAAGCTGCTGGGTCTGTTGCTATGAACAGTTATCCCTATCCAACTGTTTATGGTGGAGGTGAGCAAGACAGGTGGAGAAGACAGGTGTCAGGTGACCATTATCGTCCTAGCTCGTCTCGACAGCAAGCTGACTCGACTTATTCAAAAGGTGATCGTGAAGATTCTTCGTTTTCATTAATTTCTACTCCAGTGCTTCACCTCAAGTGATTTACTCAGACGATTTGATGAAAGTTTCTCAGTGGGAAGGAGGCTTCGTGTTGGGGGGGTTACTTGTATTTTGATAAAATGCTGAACTTGACTTATACTATCTTATAGGGTTACAGTTCCCCCCCCTGTTGTTGTCCATGGAGTTAATCTTGTCTTGTTGATTTGTACAAGCCAGTGGAGTCACTTGCGGAGCCAAATACTTCAGGTTGCAGGCTGAACGGGATTATCACACATTGAGCAGTGGAAAACTTAAAGTACTTTAAAACCGTGAAATGAATTACAACAGACAAGAGTTAAAATGATAATAATTAAGGCATGCTCAATGTTGCTATTCTTATGCCAGTTTGTCAGAGGTGGATGGTTGGTGTTGTTTCTTGGCAGCATGGCAAGTTCGTTTATGTTTGGGGCAATGTTCTGTGTTATGTATGAAGACTCTCAGGGATGGCTACCTTAGACTACCTAAAATTCTCTCATGGGTCGGACGTAATTGTTTTCTGGGCGGGATGAGGCCCGCCAGCCTTGAGTTTGATACATGCGATATAGGCCTATACAGCTCCTCCTGTCATCTCGGTTGCCCTGTTGTTCCTGCCATTCTTCTTCAAGACCTATTAAGAATTTTTCTTTTTTAACTGGCTGTCTCATTTCAGAGTTTGTACAACAGTGAGGATTAAAAAAAAATACTGTTGATACATGTGAGGCATCATGGTGAAATCAGGTGCTTGTCAAAATAAAGAAATCGAAGAAACTAACATTTTTCAGCTGTTTTGGCTACTTTTATCAAATTTTTATTATTCGGCTCAACACCTTCTATGTCCATTCTAAAAAAACACGTTTTTTATACTGTATATTATAATGTCACTGTTCAAGACATCCACCTGTCTAAGATAACTACATTTCTCGTCGATAACGGGTGACCATCTTGGACAATTTCACCTGTATTTAAGCCCATAAGTTCTGGACAATTGACACCGACAGAAGTAAGTGAAGTGGAAAACATAGTTTTTGCATCTGACTGTCTGCTATATTGTGTGTTGTGTGATCATAAAGGCTTGTCAGTTGGTTTTTCAGGTGCCAATAAAGATGCGATTCCTTATTATTCCACTCTTTTTTTGTGTGTGTTTTAAAACGTTTGATTAATTACGAGTTAAAAATTCAAGAACTTAAAACTTAGAGAAAATATTTTAGATCTTTTGGTTTAACTTGTACATGATATGTAATAATAATAATACTTTATGTGTCCCTTAACCCTATAAGAAAGATGATGAGAAATGGAGATGGCGTCCGTTGTGTAATAGTAATACCGGATGCCCATTGCGGATGGGATTGGGCCGGGTCAGGTCGGATTGATCGCTGACTCGTCGCCCGAAAACAAATGTGTTTGTTTTTTGAGGCGACAAATTGGACGCGATCGGCTTGTGCCATGATAGCCGCTTTGCGCGCTCAATCTGGCTAGCGAACTGACCTGCCCCGATTCCCCAATGGGCACCCCCGTATAATGGTTAAATTCTTTGTCTTTGCACTCTGAAGGCCTTCATCCTGTGCAGTATTATGATATGGCCTCTTTGGTCGAGTGGTTGTCTGTTGGGCTCGCAACAAAGGTTGTTGGTTCGAAACCTATCAGAGTCCTGACATTGTGTCCATGGGAAAGGTATTTTACACTAATTTTCTTCAGTACACCCATGTTTGAATTGGTTTCTGGCCATAGACAGCAAAGGATTTTGTCAGGTTGTTAGTGGTTGAGTGTAAAATTGGCTGCTTGTGCCATATGCTTCTCGGGTTGCAGAGAATCCTTCCGAGTCCCTATCCGTACGCCCTGGGGTCATTTTGTACCCCCGGGGTTGTATTCTTCTCATTTTAGAATACTTCTAGAACAAAGATCTCCCTAAAACTTTCAGTTTTTCCCAAAAAATCATTTTGACATACTGCTGTGCAAAGTGTACGGATCGGATTAACAAACAATTTTCCTATTTGAAAGTGGTGGCACAGAGTTCCCCTCGTCGAATGGATACAAATACAATAGTAAAACACGACGTACGGATAGGGCGGTAAAAATAGCTGTAAAGTGTTGTAAAGCACAAAGAGCATTCTCTGTAAATGTAAAGTAGAGCATTGAAATGCTCTTTATAGATGCCGTTATTATTAGTATATTAGTATGATTAAATAATTATGTTTATTTGTAGTATTGTATTACAAATGACTTAGATCTATCTTTGGGGGATGACCATGTGGAACCTGGTTAAGATTCACAGAAATTAATGAACAGGAAAGTGGGAAGAAAGACATGGAATAACATCAAGAGGCAAGCCCACAAAAGTAAAAGGTGAAAGGTGTTTGTTCGTGGCCTGTACCCTGAGTCATGGTGAGAAAGGCAAGGGTGATGATCATTATCATTGGAGGAGAGCCCTGTAACTGTAAGCAAACCAAATTGAATACCTATAATTTGAAGACATGATTTCATAACAATAATCAATAAAAATGCTCATTTCACAATCCCTAGTACAAACCTCATCATCGTCATTGCCTTTCTCACCCTCGTTCAGGGTATAGGCCACGAACAAACACTTTCCACTTTTCCCTGTGCTTGGCCAGCCTCTTTGACTTGATGTTATTCCATTTTTTCCCACTTTTCTGTACATCAATTTCTGTGACTCTTCTTGTACAAACCTGCTCCCATAAGTTACAAACAACTTTGTTTCTGTTACAATACAGTGGAGTCCACTTATAACGAGTCCGGAAAAAACGAAAAGTCTGTTATAAAGGCACTATTCAAAACCCCCATTTTGTTCTCCTCTTTACCTTTGTAAATAAAATACTGCTATAGCACTATCAGACAAACATGCGAGTTGGTTATAGAGGAAAATTGCTGTTGTTGTGCCCAGTGCATAGGAGGCCAATTATACATAATGTAAAACCTCGCCAGTTGAGAAAGTTGTTGGTGACCTTGCGAAACAAGGAATATGAGAGCCTGTGTGTGTCAACAATGAAGGCCGGAGCGACTGAGTAGGGAGGGTGAGGCATGCGCAGACAAACAGAACGCATCGCGGGATTCGCGTGATGATAGCGTAAGCCAAGTTTAGATTATCAAGGCCTACCATGCTTCTCACTTCTCCAATGTGGGGATGGGGAGGTCACAGCAATGGGGTGGATGGAGCGAATGTGTGACGTGCGCAAGCAGACAGAATGCACCAAAGGGTGTGGTGGGGTGGGGGACAACACAACAGGCGAGTTAGCCCAGGACCCTTTCTTTCTGATCGCCAACACGAGCTGTCAGTCCACATAGCTAGATCTAGCGTTAGAGAAAGAAACCTGATTCGATTTTTTGACAAAGTAAGACCTAGAGGTCATGTTGAAACAAAATCATCATCAGGGGAGATAGCAAAAGGAAATAAACAGGACACTAAACTCATAGATTAGGCCTACTTTCCAGTTTCTCTTGAATTTATTACTGGATCCCTTATAGCGAGAATCCTGCTATAACGGACATTTTGCTCCGGTCCCCTCCCTCTCGTTATAACAGGAATCCATTGTACTTATTTGCCTGGTTTATTTTGACGAAGAAGACAAACTCATCAAGGAGACACTTGCATAGAATTAGAACGGTGCACTAGTAATGCATTGTATTGATCTCCAGAAATAAGATAAGAGATAAGATAAGATACATCTTAATTCAGTCCAGATCCTTGCACATTGTTTTGGTGTTTCACCTCGTGTCTCACCTTGTCACACCTTGTCAAACCTTGTCACACCTTGTCACACCTTGTCACACCTTGTCACACCTTGTCACACATTGTCACACATTGTCCACAGTGTTGGGGTCACTTCAGTCGGAACATGTCCATCTCAGCTCTCCCACCCTCCCCTTTTTTAGGATTCATCCCAGAGTCTGTCTGCTTACAGTCTCAATCATAATCTAGTTGCACATCTGTCGGATTGATCCGCACAGATACACACACACACACACACACACACACACACACACACACACACACACACACACACACACACACACACACTCTCACACACACACACACACACACTCACGCACACACACAAACATGCACACACGTAGGCTTACAATCGCATGCATTTATATACATTAGCAGCCATATAAACAATAATAATAATCGTAAGCTAGATACATGTACATATTCAATGTTATTCTGATGCATGCTCCAAGGTCATATGAATTGATGGAAGAATTAATACAAAATTACAAAACGGTGCCCCAGTAATACTGCAGGCTGGAAAAAATCAATGCATAAAAGTCAAAACGGTGCACCACTAATATTGCTGACCAGACTTCATCATCACCATCCGGTGCCTTGCCGACTGGCGTGGGCGATCATGGATCTCCACTTCCAGCTGATCTGTCTTGCGTTGCGGCAATGGTGTCTGTTGTTCTTGCTGCTCCCAGTCATGTTGTCAATTTGTCCAGTATCTTTTCCCTCTGTCTGTCTCTGCCTCTCTTTCCATCAAACTCAAACTTGCCCGTAGTTACAATATTCTGCAATGCTTCTTTCCGCATTGTGTGTCCAATGAAATTTGCCTGTCGCTTTCTTACATTCGTCATAAGCTGTCGTCTGCAATTTGACCCGACATACCACAGCATAAGATTAAAACGGAGCACCAGTAGATCTAATACTGCTGGCCCGAAACACCAAAGTACCTAGAGAATGGAACGTCGGGATCATCAAGTCTTTGCTTTGTTGGATTGTGGGATCTTTCTTTTTCCCCCATGTTGACGGCGTCTTGCTTTGTTGAGTTTTATCTGGCGAAGAAATTTTGCTACAGCCATAAAATCCATCTCTTCCAGAGTCATCAAAATACAGTCGTAAGAGGTGACGGTGAAGGCAGTGGTGAAGTTTGTGGAGGGGAAGTACTTAGACTTAGAGGAAGAGACAAGATGGCTTGACCGGACGAACGAACAAAACGTATCCACTTGCTCCCTTACCTCTTTGAATTGAATCACTTCTTCATGAAAATTTCCCGGCTGTTTTTTTATCCGCTCGTTAAAAAATTCCACAAAGTGATCATAAAGAGCGATGTCAATTGCGGCCCATGATGAGAAGAGTTGCATCACCTCTGAGGAATAATTTCTTTTTTTAATTCGGGAGAGACTTTCGTCTTCCGAGGTGAACACATTTCTTTTTACATATAGGATGTCCTTTGTGCTCCAGCCAAGGAAGCGGCGTAGCAAGACCATCGACTCCTCAAACTGTTCGGCTATGAGGATCAAGTCAAATGTCGACTGAACGTCACCGAGAAATTGTTGGATCAGAGACTGGTTCACTTTGGCAAGTTCAAAGTTGTTGAGCGGGAAACCTAAGTCCATACTCATTCGATTGTTTAAAAAGTCTTTGGCTGGATTTACCTTATTAACATAGCTCTCAGAATCTATCAGAAAAGATTCAACTGGATTTTCGGGGAACTTTTTAATAAGTTTTGAGAGGGGTGGCTTCTTAAAAACACCAGCGTAGTAAACGAAAGTAGACAGGAATTGCTCGAAAGGTTTTCTCAAAATCCCAATATAAACCGTATCATTTGGGAAGAAACGCGATATTTCCGTGCTGTTGAATATGAGGTGGTTACATAAGATATCGTGGGTGTGGCCTAGAGGAAGAGGGTACAAGTTGCTCTCGGTAATGAGAGATCCACCCTCATTAATGTGCTCCCCACTACGGTCCAACATCACGTTCAGGTCGTGGGATATTGCGAACCGAAGGAAAACGTTTTGGACAGTTGTGCTTGCCGCCTTGTGCACTTTGGAAAAAACCACGTGATGCTTCTCATTAACCTCATTTCCGTTGTTGATGACGGAGACGGAATCTGCTGGTGGTGAGACTGCACTGAAGTCGGAACTGCCTGCATCGTTCTGGGAAATTAATGCCCGAGTGATTATTTGTTCCAGTTCTTGAGGCGATAGATTGTTGCTAGTGCTCGATCTTCCGACAGGTTCGTTGTTCGTTCTGTTGTTAAAATGAGTCTTGTGTTTGGCGATCAGGCTACGAGGTCTTGAGGGATTCTGCCGCGGCATAAACCGATCGAGTTTGAATGGGCGGATCAGGAGAAAGCTCGAGACGAATATCGCCAGAAGAACCCAAACAGAACATACTTGAAATAGGAAAGCTGCTCCTTTGTTCATGCTCCTTCCTACATGTATTGCTGTTGATGGGAAAGTAGAGATGATTTGTTAATTACGTGAATTTTATAATCTGCAAAACTGTGTCTATACTCTCCAGAGTACAGTTATAATAAAATGTTTATTTTTTCGGTGTGTGTACATGTTATGTTTTGTTTGTTTGTGTGTGCGTTTGTGTGTGTGTATGTGTGTGTGTGTGTGTGTGT